AAAGGGGTGGCCCATAGGGCCAAGCATGGAGGAGTCCATGCATGATCACAAACTTGTCAAGTGAGAGGACTTGGCAGTGCGGAGGAACTAGGTTCCTAAGTTGTGATCTGTAGCGCGCTTTAAGTGTATGATGGTGCACCAGCATGGGGAGTCACGCCAGGCATCCGGTGTGATGCCATTTGTAGATGCATATACGGAGGTTGGGTTCGAGTCCCGACACTCTAGTGCTTGGGTTCGAGTCCCAAATCACTAGGGCGTGGTGATGGTTTGGAAAATGAGGACACTCATTTTTCGGTGGTCATGAACTCTCAGTGAGACTGGTTTGGGCACACCGCCAAGCAAGGGATGCCTCGGAGTCGTGATGCACGGTTAAATTGCTGAGTGTGGCTCGGCATATCTAACTTGAACCCTTTGGTGCAAGTGGCACCAAGGACGTGGTGAATGAGATGGGGACACCCAATCTCAGTTGCTATGGACCCTTGGCCAGAAGGGCTAGCTTGGGTGCACCGCCAAGTGTGGGGGATGCCCTCGGGGTCATAGTGAACAACTTAAAGATCAGGAAGACCTAATACCTATTGGCAAACCTGTTAAGGTGCCAAGATGAGATCACTCGGTGATCTTGTGGCTAAATAGGGACAAGGTCCTTGTGAGGTTAAGGGATAAAGTTTCAAGTTCAAAGTGTTGATTGGAACTATTGATGAGGGTGTGGCTTGGTCAAGATGACCAAGTGGGAAGGACACCTAAGGGAAATGAGATATATCAATGCAATGAAATAGTGAGTCCGAGGAAAGTAGTCTCTATAAGAGACCCATGGGAGGGTCACAAAGTTGGGCTGTGGATAGAGCCCACAGTAGAAAATGTTAAAGAGACGTACTAGAGGTGAACACCCTTTGGACTTGGCGAAGCAAAGTGTTTGCTATGGAACCAAAAGGATACCTCAAGAATGCAGGTAGCAATCCTATGTTGTTAGGTGCAACAATCAAGGATAGGAGGAAAAGACTAGTGGCTAAGAAAGAGCCATGGGAATCAGGGGAAAGAATCCAAATGGCAAAATTAGGCCAAAAACACTAATGTATTGGGTGCTAACAGATTGTGGGAAAGGCAATGTTTTCCCAAGGATGGATTCCCAGCCGCTCCGATTTGGCGAAAGTGGAAGCTCCAAGGGGGGGAGCAGTAAGGTAGCCAAATAATAGGGCTGCGGGCAGCCCTAACACAATTTATAATAATTGGAACTTAGTGCCAAAGGTGGTACGATATCGAAGAGAGGATGAGGGTGCCCTCAAGTAAAGAACTTCCTAGGATGGGGAAGTGGAGTTGCACCATGTGCAATGTAAGGTGTTGGAGACACCTAGGAAATTGACTCTGAAAAGTCAAAATCAAAAGTTCCAAAGTGCAAAGGTTATGTCGATGGAATCTGAGACTACTCGAGAATGAGTAGTGGAATTGAGTTAGAGAAGGTCTCTAACGGGTTTAGCGAGAACTGAACCAATAAAAGGGAGCAAACCACCCCAGGTGGCCGAATGAGTCTCTATGTTGGAGAGACTATGCTCCTTAAAGGATGGACAAGGCATGGTGAGCCTTTGGTGTCAAACCATAGACAAGCATTGGCTGGGTGCCAAGGATGGAAATGGTAACACCTGTGGGTGTTACTTTATAAAAAGGGTTTACCATTCGATGAGGACATCGAACTTCGTCTATGGGTGGTGGAGTTGTGAGACACAAAATTCCTAGGCCCCAAAATGGAGCCGGAAGGGTGCCACGTGGTAGTGGCCGAAGCGAAAGCCAAACGAGCATAACACGTTTGGACTAAAAGCTCCGACTTGAAAAGGTCGAGAGTGGGAGTGGAACTCCCAACGAAGTGCTCGAGGAATGAGCACGAAGTGAGCAATAAGCGAGGCTCCAAAAAGGGACCCAAAAGGACTAACACATGACACGTGGAAGTGTCCAAGATGGACCCGAGTTGGGGTCCAAAGTGGAGTCCAAAGTGGAGTCTGAGATGGAGTCCGAGATGGACCCGAGATGGAGTCCGAGATGGAGTCCGAGATGGACCCGAGATGGAGTCCGAGATGGAGTCCAAGGTGGACCCGAGATGGACCCGAGATGGAGTCTGAGATGGACCCGAGATGGAGTCCAAGATGGAGTTTGAGGTGGACCCGAGATGGACCCGAGATGGACCCGAGATGGAGTCCGAGATGGAGTCCGAGATAGAGTCCGAGGTGGAGTCCGAGATGGACCCGAGATGGAGTCCGAGATGGAGTTCGAGGTGGACCCGAAATGGACTCGAGATGGAGTCCGAGATGGAGTCCGAGCTAGACCCGAGATGGACTCGAGATGGAGTCCGAGATGGACCCGAGATGGAGTCCAAAGTCGAGACTGGGACCGAGACCAGGACCAAGACCAAGACCGGGACCGGGACCGAGGCCGAGACCGGGGCCGACACCAAGGCCGAGGCCGAGATTGAGACCGAGTCCGAGACCGAGCCCGAGCCCGAGCCTGAGCCCGAGCCCAAGACCGAGACCGAGTCCGAGACCGAGCCCGAGCCCGAGCCTGAGCCCGAGCCCGAGTCCGAGTCCGAGTCCAAGTCCGAGTTCGAGTCTGAGAGGGTGAAAGCCCAAAGCGTTCATCTCCCAGACCCTGGGGGGTTTGGTGAACTCCAAAAGTATAGTAGGGGGAGGATTGCAGTGGAGCCAGTTTGGCCAGGAAAGGCCGGTTTGGCCCAGGAAGGCTGTACCCAGTGTTAGGTGATGAGCTGCTCACTGGGAATTCCAAGACTAAAGTGAACACAAACCGACAAGCGGGGTAGCTTGGTGAAGTGTTCAAGAGCCAGCTCTAGTTCCCCAGGGAGATCGACTGGCCGATGCTCCCAGTCCAAGTGTGGGTGGCACTACCTACTTGGATACCTGGTGTGGCTCAATGGAACCTCGCTCTAAGCCCATGGCTAGAGCACCAAAAGGCAGAAGGTGGGGAGAGTACCCATGAGGCTTGCGTAAGGCCACGGTGTTCTGAAATGTTGTCCCAAAGTCCCAAACGGTGAAAGAGAAGAGGAGCAGTTCTCTAGTGCAGTGACCAAGGATACGGTCACATGGTGAGGAAGTCCCAAAAGATAGTGGCACTTAGAGGTTGGGCTTGCGGGCCTTGATCTAGTAGTAGTGTGGGCGAACACGGCCATGGACAAAAAGGGACTTGGTGGGGACTGGAAAAGAGATGTTGGGGAAGGCTATTCCCCATATCTGCGGGCATCCTAAGGATGCTAAGGAGTGGATCTGGGATGATCACTCACGGACGGATGGCCCAATCTTTGAGAGACAGGACTATGATGCAAATGGTGTTGGACCACCGATATGACCAAGGCGAATGGGCATGGCCTAGCGTAACGGGCTGGTATGTTGGTGGTACCTTGGGGTGTCGATCATGGGATCGGACACATGGAGCACTTGGACCAAGTGCAAAGGTTGAGTGGCATGGATGCCATTCTCGGGGCTAGCAAGCCCCAAGTCCTAACTAGGACTTATGGAGGTTGTGAATGAGACTCCTCGAAGTGGTCAGAGGTGCGGTTAAATGACTAAAGTAAAATGGAAAAATTTTAGTCTCTTACACTATTTTATCCCCATTTATCCCCTAAAGTTCCAAGGATTTATGGTGACAGTATATCCAAATCTTATCCTATGATTACATGCGCTACAATACTCCAGCAATAAAAGTAAAAGTAATGTAAACAACCAAAGGGAACCACTCAAAAAACGATCTATAGGGGTTCAAATATAAAGGGAAATGGTCCATGAATAAGAGTGCACCCCTTTTTCTAATCGGTTAAGGGTCTTGGGATATTTAGGGTTAAGCGTCCTTGGGTTTGAATAATACTAAGCTGAGTGACCTCCTAGGAAGTCTAAATTCAAGTTCCGGCTGGGCTCGACCCGAGGGGTAAGGTGTCAAGAGAATGGGGCTCTCGGGAGAGCTGTAACTCTCAACTTTCATTCATGAAGGCATGAACTTGTAGGGAAGCATGGTGGATTGTAAGCAACCAAAGGGAATGACTCAAAAGATGATCCATAAAGGTTCAAATATAGAGGGAAAGGGTTTTGGGATATTTGGGGTTAAGTGTCCTTGGGTTTGAATAGTACTTGGTCATGGGGCTCTTGGGAGAGCTGTAACTCTCAACTTTCATTCATGAGGGCATGAACTTGTAGGGAAGCATAGTGGATTGTAAGCAACCAAAAGGAATGACTCAAAAGATGATCCATAAAGGTTCAAATATAGAGGGAAAGGGTTTTGGGATATTTGGGGTTAAGTGTCCTTGGGTTTGAATAGTACTGGACCATCTTGTTAATGCTCACACTACAATTCCCGAATTCACAATGATGATCATTGCTAAAAATTACACCTAGAGTAGTGTCTCAAAAAGAAGTAGAAAGCTATGATGCAGCCTAGGTAAATGGTTACTAGGCAATGTTGCAACAAAAAGCCATCGAAGCTCTACCACTACAAGATTGTGGCAAGGCTTTTGCATGAGTGGAATCTGTAATGGAGGAGACTATTGCAGCTATGACTTGTGGCAGGAAGAAAAAGATCCCAACTATTATTGAGCTTGATCAAGCACTAACATCAATTATTACACCATCTCCACTTATAGCAGGGCCCTTGCCCTTCCCACGGGCATCTGTAGTGGCATCTTTAGTTCTAGTTGTTGCTTCTCAACTGGGAGGAATTTCACCTAGCAATTTACAACAAAGTGTTCCTTTTTCTTAGGACACCCACCCCCGGCACACTTGTTTGAGCATATTTAGGCACTTCAACTCTTGGTGACTTGCTCTAATGCATTCCATGACCAATTGGACCAGTTCTCTAGACTCCAACCCAACTCTAATGCTTTCCCAGCATCTTCTAGTGACTAGGTGTAGCATGTGGATTGTCCAATTCAGTTGGATCCAAGTGCTTTTCTCGCAAGATCAGAGTCTGGTAATTATAGAAACACTAAGCTCTAACCAATAAACCAAAGTTATTCAATACAAACAGTGCAGCGGGAAGTTGTAGTAGACTGGAAGGCCAGCATTGAGAAGCCAAAGATGTGCGTGCTCAACACACTCGAGGAAAGCCTGGAAGTTGTTCTCGTGAGAACCAACAGACCTCATCAGAAACTTTTACCTCTTCGTGCAAGTTGTATCTGCAATTTGGTGGCTTGAGCGAGATAAGATCGTAGAAGAAAGGATTGTCGCGAGCAGCTTGCAGCAGCCTGTCCCACTCGTCATCACTTGGTCGATCGAAGAAGTCTTCGTCGATGCCCCAGACAGACGTTTCTGGATCCCATCTATACGGCCCTTCAAGCAAGAACCAATGTAAGCAGAAGTATGTGGAAGCCACACCAAAATCACGAAGAACCAACGTACCCAAGTAAGTATACTTGTAGATAGTAAGGATTGTTCTTTCCAGCTCCTGCAAATGCTCCTGCGCCAGATATTTCTCTCCCTTGCTAGCTTGCTCGGCATCCTCGCCATCCAGATTTTTTAGTTGCTCTCGCAGATACTTGAGAACGGGGCTGCAGTCGTTCTGTAAGCCATTTATCGAGAGATCTCAGACAAGCTTGAGGAACAAATGTTTCCTCTTACCTCAGCAATGTGGCGAGAGAAGAATTTGGATTCAAAGACCTTGTCGATCATTTCTCGCATCTCCTTAAGCATGGCGCTGGAGCACGATTCCAGAGGAGTCGCAGCGGCAACGAGATCCAGCAGCTCCGCTCCCGTCACCAAGCAATCGTCTCGCTTGAGGAACTCCCGCACACGGTTCTTGTCGTGGCCGAAGAAGCGCGCGAGGTAGAGCAAGGCCACCAGATAGTAGAGCTCCGAGTCGTTGATCCTGGGATTGAAATGCCCGTCGTCCCCCCGATACGCATCCAGGCACCTGCCGATGCGAGCTTCTTTCTGGGCGACGCAGCAGAGCTTACGGAACATGGAAAGGACAAACTCACTGCTGGTGATACGCCCCAGCGATTCGCGTTGAAAATGCACCACCGCTGACATCGCATGGGGGTTTAAAATGATTGGACGGTCGGATGCCCTCCTCGTTCAACGGCTGCGATGGACTCTCGATGAGTTTTACCACCTGATGACATGGAAGTTCGTCAACTATACTTAACAACGAGACTGGCGTTGGACAGGGGAAACGGCAAGGTAGCTGGCATGTACCAGTTTCAAGAGTCTTTTCAATCTGATTGTAGCAAATGACGCAGAAAACCTACGGGAGCTCAGGGACAACCAGGTGGTATATAATATTTCTAAGTAAGAAGATCAATGGCATTTCGTTGCAGTCGATCTCCCCACTGTGTAGTATCCCTTTCCGTTTTGTTCTTCGCCATAGGTACGCGATGGATTGATCGCTAGCGCTGGCGCCACTCGATCGCGACTCAGCTCGCGAGACAAAAGTTCCAGACTCTTTTGCCCATCTCCCTCTCTCTCTCTCTCTCTCGCTCCCTCCCTCCCTCCCTCCTCTCCCGAGAGAGAGAGAGAGAGAGTTCTCGCACAGCGTGATGAAAGCCGAGCTCAGAGAACAATGCCGAGTTCAATCTACAACGTGGAGATTTTCATCACCTCTGGAGTTTACGTGGTTAGCTGCAATGATTCCTTTTAAAAGTCACTATAATCCTCAGTTACAATCCTCTCTTATTTTTTCCTTGTTTTTCTGCAATGATTCCTTTTAAAAGTCACTATAATCCTCGGTTACAATCCTCTCTTATTTTTTCCTTGTTTTTCTTCTTTTTCCAATTTACACGACTGCTGCTGCTGCTGTCTTAATGTACACTACTGCCTGTCTCTAAAGAATGAATGCTCTTTTTTGTTTTTCCTTTTTAATCTCTTTTTACGAAAAACACTACCTCAGGGAAGAGAGGCGCTCCCATTTCCACAATCACATCAAATCCACGCTGCCACTGAACGCTCGTTTCCGGCGGGGTGAGGCCGGCCCCTCGTCGGCGTTGGAGGCCTTTGGACGTTAAGTTCCTGGATGGATCGAGAAGAGATTTAGAACAAAACGAAAATGCCAAATCACTCTCGAGGCTTACGTGCATCCATGTATCTTCGAGTTGATGCTCCGGGGACGACTCGGGGGACGTGACGGCGGGAGGAAGAGGATGGATCAGCTTTGGCACAACAACCAGGTCTCTGCCAAGAACCAAAATCGCCCCAGCGTTATTTGCTGTGCCTGGAACCATCGAAAGAGAGCGTTATGTCATTGATAGACGAGATTCTACTATGTCTGCTCACCGCAGTAGTTCGTGGCAGAGAATAGAGTGATCAAGTGCCCCTGTGCAAATCGCTCAAACCCGTCCATCACGCACTCGTGTGCCCGCACGATTAGTTGTAAGTTGTTGTTCTTGCAGAATTCCATCACCCTGTCAGGCTGAGCAAGGAGAGGAAGTTAGCGACCGCTCGGACAGGAAGTAGCTGGCGGAATACTTACTCCGAATGTTACTAGGCCCGGCCCCCTTGCATTTGGCCGGAGACCTTCTACACTGTCATTCTCGGTCGGATCAGACCTGCTCGTAAGTGTTAGAAACAGCAAAGTAAAAGAACAAATCGAGGTCTACCATAACAAATCCATCAGTATAACGGATCCTGAATCCATGGAAATGGGCCGCTGTAGGTTCTCGATTTGCTCCACGTGATTTATGGACCTCCCAATACCACCGTGCATGCAGATGATCTTGTCCTCTATCAGTGCCGCTAGAGGTAACCAGTTGAAGAGTTGGTTGATTCTTTGCCACGTCCATATTCCCTCGCGCTCACCCTGCCGAAGATGTCTATATCAATAACGAAAAAAAAAAAGACATGGTGAGTACAAACCATGCGCTCGATGCACTCAATGCGAAACCCAAACAACGCATTGATGTCAGCAGCCTCATGATTCCCACGAATAAGATGTACATTCCGAGGGTAGTCAATCTGTTCGGAGAAAACTATAAACAAGAAACCAAGAGATTACTTCATTGAATGGCACACCTTCAACGCCAGAAGCAGCGAAATTGTCTCGAGACTATGTTGACCACGATCAACGTAGTCACCCAAAAAAAGGTAGTCAATATACCTGTAAAGAAGTAGAAGTAAATTAGAAGATCGTACGAAGCAAGGGCCTAGAAAAAAACCCACGTTATATCCCCTGCTGTTGAAGGAGACCCGTACTCATCAAATAACCTCATAAGATCTCCAAACTGCCCATGAAGATCGCCAAAAATCTTTACGGGAGCTCTCACTTGAAGCACAGTGTTCTCCCGTTGGAATACCCTCTCCGCTTTCTCGCAAAGTTCCAAAATTTCGTTAACGTCCAGAAAAAATTGCCTTCGTACTGGCGGCTTCCAACCACGTGGTTTCAAAAGATAATTAATCACCTGTTGGAAAGTGAATATGAGAGAGAGCAAAGACAGAGAAAAGGAAAAAAGAAGAAACCTTTTTCTGGACACCAATTTCTGACGTTGTTCGGTCCAAAAGTTTTCTGGCTGCATTCGCACTCTCGGGAGTGCCATAGCTTACTCGGCGCCCTTCATTTTCAAACTGATCAATAGATAGTTGTCTAACCATACCACCCAAATTCCCTCCGGATTCTGCAGCAACAACGACCTGCAAACCACTCGCAGTTGTATTAGTTTCAAAATATTAAAGTAACCTCTTACCGCACGATGATAAAGTCTCACGCCAGTCTGTGGGGTGTGATTCATTGTCGAGCTTTCCCTCTTAGCTCCCTTCGTTACAGGAGAGGCTCCACTGGTTGATGCATCTGCTCCACCATCTCTTTCGGGACTCCCAACCTCCCCATTTGCTTGACGCAGAGCCGCTACTTTGGCCATAGTTGCACTTATTGCTTCGGCTTCCGCTGCCGAAGCTTCTACCAATGATTCCACACCTTTCGATGTCCTGAAATTCAAGATTTAGATCCTACAGAAGGAAAACAATGTGGCGCTAGTCTTACCGATGATCAGCAACTGCATTTTCGGAACTTATGTCCATCGTCATATCGCCATTGACGGGGCCTGCCACAGGTTCTTCCATCACAACAGACCCGTCAGACGAAGGCGCTGGCTTCCCCTGTCCATCGGTTGCAGGCTTTGCAGCAGGTACAGACGCATTGGGAGCTGCAGTTGCGGCTATTGCCGCAGCTTGTAGCGCTGCCGGTGTTGTCTCTGCTGCCGCCAAATCCTCCGCAACCAATAGATCATCGAGAAGAACACCTGTAGTGTTTCCATGAAGAAGTTGTCCAAAAGAACGGTCCAAAAGATAGCTTACCTCCTCTGAGTCCACCGTACAAAAAAATCAGATCCCCGACCGCAGCTGCTGCATGGCGACAACGTCTTGTAAGCTCACTGGAAGCATCTCCACCAGCGGCATCAGCACTATAACGTCCAGTTCTAGGACTCGAGACAATAGATTTTCTATCACACCAAACTCCAGCTGCGGTATCTAAAACTGCAAAATTGCATTCATGTTAAATTCTATCTCAGACTAAAAGCAAATCCAAACCTGCAACACTAGATCCATCCTCAACCATCCGGCCACCACCTAAAGCGCCTCCCGAAACATGCAAACGAGCATTTACAAAAACCTGAAATGGCGTTGTTACCAAAGGGCAAAAACTGCTCAAGTCAATCTTACTGCAGCGTGCTGATACCGAGGGGAAGGCGAAACACCAGGCGCAATAGCCCATTCCCACCTCCCATCCCGATGTTTGGCAAGACCAAACGCGTTAGCAATTGGCTGCCACAAAAAAACGGTAACACCTTGTATTCTTCTACCGTATTAACTTACCACACTACTGGCATCTCTTCCACCACAAAGCAGCAAAAGACCATCTGATCTCGCGCTAGCGGTAGCATACCTGCAGGGAAAGCCATTAACAAGAGAAACTAAAAACATAAAAAAGCTTCATTTACATGCATGGAGGAGGACCATCTCCTTCAGGTTCTAGCCTTCGCCATTCGTAAGGCTTGGCTGCTGTGTCTAAAGCCCACACGTCAGCTAAAGGCCGCTTGCCTGCAATTCGCATGTTCCAATGTTACCTCGACATAGCAGAAAAACCGCAAAGTTGCTTACCGTCGTTCCCTCCAATACAAAGGAGAAATCTCTGTCCTACTAGCGCCATAACGTGTCCGTACCGAGGACCGGGACCTGGGCCTTGGACAACCACCCTGGAACAAACCATCCACATCAGATATTGTGAAAAAAATCTAAACGACTGATCGAAACCTGTGCCATCTGGGTCTTGCTTGTGTAAGGTCAAGAACATGAAGATCTTCACTAGAAACTCCAGCGGGCCCGATGCCACCCTGGAGTCACAAGCAAAAACTTAGTTCGTCGGAAAAGCTCGCATATAAAACACAAAAGTTTGAACGCACTTGAATCACAACCATCGACCCAACCGCTGTAGCAGCATGAGCAGCACGTGGAGACGGCGGCTCTCCAACGGCGTTAAGTCTGCACGGCAACACAAGAACATTCTTACTCGGGAAAAGAAAAAAAGCAAAGAGAGCGTTCGTTGTCACTAACCGGCTCCACTTGTTTGAAATAATGTCAAAGCAGTGAACGTCGGCAGTCGCTCCAGCCAGCCCTGCAAGATCACACACAAAACCATGAGAAAAATCCCGAAAAGCAGCAATCACATCGGATTACTACTTATGCCAGCATTTCCAGCGGGTGGTGGAGTCGGAGCTGCGGCGGAATTCCCCTCGAGAGCGGTGGCACCACCGAAGAGAATGAGCCGGGGGCCGATATACCCCGCCGTGCCTTGCTCCCCCACCGCGGCCACCGAGGTGAGAGTATGCCCACACCGTGGCCCGGGACCATCTTCCTTTTTTTCTATGATCGCGTTCACTACCCGATAGCTGGGAGCCGGCCTGGGAGGTCTAATGAACGCTGCTTGCTGTGACTGCTGCTGTGCCTGGTCTGGAGTTCCTGGCACTGGAGCCTGCTGGGACGCTGGATTTTGCTCGTCCTGTGAGGATACAACAGGAGCAGCTGGTCGAGGAGGCGGCGGTGGCGGTGGCTGCGAAGAAATCTGCTGAGGCTGCTCGAGCATAGCTCCCATGCTGGCGGATTCCACCTCCATGGTGATAATCTCCAGCTCCTAGCGCTAAAACCCTCCTCCTCGTTCTTCTCCTCACCTTGGCCACGGATTGCCGCCTCTAGGCAGCGCCACCACATCCTGTCCAGCGGCCGCCGCGGCGAGCCAAATCCTCCATCAAAATCCCGGAGAACCTAGCCGCGCTCACCTATCTCCAGCCCTCACATTGCCTCCACCGCACCATTTTCCCCCCGAAGATCTGCGCTGCCGCCCTCGCGGCGGAGGCGCTCCCAAAATCCGCGAGAAATTTCCACCCCGGGAGCGCTGGATTTCACCCGCGGCAGCACTGGCGCATTGCCTAAACCCTAGCTCGCAGCGCCGGGGATCGACCTAGATGGATCCAGAGGCCAGCAACAAAACCTGGATTCGCCAATCGCTGGGGAGATTCCCACGCCCTAGGAGCTCCCGCGGCGCGGCGCTAGATCGCTCGTGGATGCGCCATCGTCCATCGCGCGTTCGCAAAGCCGCCACAGTGCTCTACTCCCCCCACTGGTGTTTTTGGGACCTCCGTAAATTTGAGAGGCCATACGGAATTATACCGTACTTTTGTACACCTATATGTCAACCCTAACACCAGGCTCGAACTCGTGACCACTTTTACCCTTGGGGAGTTTAGTGGGGATATTTTTTTTCGTTGAAGGAGGGCCCAAGTGACCAACTAGACCAGCACAAAGGCACATAGACAAGGAAAAGCTGCCGAGAGACTAACGCAAACTTAAAAGCTCTCGCCTACTTTATCTCTATCTTTCTTCCATCAAGCCCCGGCTTTTAACAATTCTTTTCGATTCATGGTCGCAGCAGCAAAGCACCGGTCAATCACATTGGTTCTTCGGTAAGATCAATCTTATTGTCACATTGGTTCTTTGGTAAGTTCACAGCGAGTTCATAGAGTTCTACTAGCACACACTGCTCGTTTTTCTAACAAGCCCGGACTTTTAACATTCTTTTCGATTCATGGTCGCAGCAGCAAAAGCATGGATCAATCACATTGGTTCTTTGCTAAGTTCACGGGAGTTCATAGAGAGTTCTACTAGCTCACACTGCTCGTTTTTCTTCTGTAGAAAACCAAAACAAAGGATTGAAAAAACTTGGCTCGCTGGCGAGCTAAAAGCACCTATAGAAAAAAGAAAACTTCAAGCTAGTACCTGGCTCTCAGCTTCTGGTTGGATCTGGTAACTGGAGGCAGTGGCCTGGGAGAAACCGGCTTAGTTTTCGCTGCGCGTTTCGTCGACGATCGCTTGGAAGTCCCGGCTGCCTCGGCCGAGGACGAGGAGACAGCCTCCTCCTCCAAGAGGAGAGGCTCAAGCTCCCTCCACTCCAACTCTTCCTCGTCCCCGTCCTCGTAGCTGATCTGTTTCGAGAGAACTTATAAATCGGTGTAGCCAGCACAAACGTACCAAAGCCAAACAGACAAAACAACCAAAATTTGACACACCTTGTAGTATCTGGTCTTACTGGAATAGCCCGCTACTTCTCCGTGGAAAGTTCGGCCGTCAAACTCCTTCGTAAGTTTACGTCCCCGTAGCTTCGAACCTCTGGCCCGTGAACTCAGCCCGGGAGTTTCTTCCTCCTGCGATTCCTGGACTTTTTTCCCCTTCGTAGCGGCACTGAGTCGCTTCTTCTGGGGGCTCACGGACGCGGCTGATGAGGGTTTAGTCTGACCGAGCTTACGTTTCCCCGGACTTTGCTTTCGTTGCTTCCCTGCCGGACTGACCACCTCGGACACTGGAGTCTGCGAAAGCCGACCACTTTTCCTGGGTGTGCCTTTGCTAGCTTCCGTCTTCGCTCGCTTGGCCGGACGCCGAGGTGTCCCCGTCGGCTTGCTCGCTGCTGCTTTCTTGGCTTTGCCTCCGGCTTTCCCGACTTTCGCAGTTTTGGCTTTGGCCGGCCTTCCTCGCTTCTTCCCTTTGACTTGCACTTGTTCTTTCTCTTGTTCTTCTGCTTCTCCTTTCTCGGCTGCTGCCGCTATTGCTCCATCGTCAGGGTTCACACCAGTTTCCACTTCAATAGCAAAGCTCTCGACGACTAAAAGCCGCTGCTGTCCCGGCTCCGGCTCTTCGACACTATCTCCCCCGTTTTGTTCTATGGCCTGGTTCAAGTCAATCTTTTCCTCGACAACAAGCTCCAGTGGCTTGGTCTTGCGCATCTTCTTGCTGTGGCAAAATTAGCAGCGCAAGCTCGAGTGGCATCCAAAGTCAAAAGAGAAACACACCTCTTTGGCGTCGAGGCCCCACCCCGGCGCTTCTTAGCCGACACTTGTTCCTGCGCTGCGATAAGTGGCTTTAGCTCGGCCCACTCGAGCTCCTCACTATCCCCATCTTCATAAACTACCTGTGGAGAAAAGCACCATGTAACTCGGCAAAAGAGAGCTAAAAGAAACACATCTACCTTATACCAGTTTGTATCCGGCTCGTACTCCGACACAGTCCCGGTGTAAAATTTCCTTCCAAATTTCTTGCGGATCTGCTTTCCTTTCAGAGCATCCCCACTCTAAAACTCGCAGCAAACCCATCGATTAAACTCTACTCTTATCCTCTCAAGAACAAAACTTACGGGGACATTTGAAGGGTCATCCTGTTCGTCTTGTCGTTCCTCTGCCGCGGCTCCTGTCAGGGAAGAAGATTACCCCCAAGGTTAGAGAGAAATCATGTATGGAAGAAAGGTTAAAGAGAAAAAAAAAAGTGCGGAAAAAGAAAAACCATTTTCAAAGGGTTCTAAAAACGTATGCACGCTGCCATTGACAACCATGGCCAGAGGAGCTTCTCTGTTGCGTATGTCGATAAGTTGCGTTTCGGCTTCCATAGCCATAACCTGGAAAAACCTTACTTTTGAGTCAAAAAAGAAGGCAAACCCACGCCTCTACATTTTCGGCTTTGATCCTTGGAACCGAAAATTCTTTCCTAGGCGTCATGGCAACCTCAATCACTCACACATTCCCACTCACAAACAAACAAAGATCCGCCTACAGTCAAAATTTTTGCCCTGGAAAGCTGGAAGACACAAACCTGGGCGAGAAAAAATCGCACTTTCCACCTCCAATGCGGCTAGAATTCCACCGAGAGATCTTAACCCTAGAACGCACTAAGGTGCTCGTCGCGGTTCCATCGCGCTTTTTAGCCTAGACACCACTTTCTTTGCGTCAATAAGGCTCAGTTCTTTGGCGCTCCTCGTCACTTCCGGGCACAACGTCCTCCGGGGAAGCGGCCAACCGGAGATCGCCAGCTGTGTGCCACGTGAGTTTATCCTCGATGGTGCTCGGGGATTGACGGCTACGAAGTGTCCCCGTCCCAAACTCCCACTTGGCCGTTCGGTTAGTTTCAAACTTTTGTCCGTATAGGCTGTACGGGTCATACTCCTTGCGAATCTACCGTCCGATCTAGGCGTGCTCTACCGTACAACTTCCACCGTGGTCTGCCGTACAACTTCCACACTTGCTTGGCGGCTCGCGCTTTGATCTCGCCACTGGAGGATTGGATCTGGCAAGCGCCAAACAGGCTTCCCCAAGCAACGCGATTCTCCGCGAGGCAGGGCATTCCATGGATCAGTTCCTCCACGCTCTCGATCAGCCCAGATCTTCCCAGGAGATCGCTGATGCAGCACAAGTGCTCCACGCAGGGCGTGACTCCGTGATCGCGATTCATCGTCGCGAGATTGCGCAATGCCTCGTTGAAGAGGCCGAGATGGTTGTTCGCAATCAAGACGCCGAGGAAGGAGACAGCGTTGGGATCGCCACTCTCGATCTCCATCTCGTAGAAGAGATCCAGCGCCTCTTTTGCGAGACCCATGCGAGCGTAGGCTAGGATCATGGTGTTCCAGGCGATGGTGTCGCGCTCTAGGACGGTGTCAAACAATGATCTTGCCTGGGCAATGCATCCAGCTCCAGCAAATGCCCCGACCATGGACGTCAACACCACTGTGCCACGCTCGGGAGCGTTGACCATAGTTGACTCCGCGAGGCGGACGAGCTGACTTTGCCCGAAGGCGGCCATCATGGCGGTCCAGGAGAGAATGCTGTGCTCGGGCATCGTCTGGAAGATTCTTTCGGCATCTGTGGGGTACCCTGCCTTTGAATATGCCGCTATGAGGGAATTGCAGAGAATAACATCATGCTCGGGCATAGAGTCAAACAGACACTTGGCTTCCTCTAAACTCTCGCAGTCTAAGTAGCCATTTAACATTAATGTCCACGTAACTAAGCTCCACTCGGGCATGGCATCAAAGATCTCCTTGGCATCTTTCATATGCTCTTTCAAGGCATATCCCGAGATAAGAGCATTCCAAATAATAACATTTCTTTCGGGGCATCTGTCAAAGGTTTGTGTTGCGCTAAAAATGTCTCCACAATTAGCGTAAGATGAGATTAATTCAGTCCACGTGACAATGTCTTTGACCGGCATTTTGTCAAACATGGCTTTTGCCTCGCGATTATTCCCAGTATGGGCATATGCTCGCAGCATAACCGTGCAAGGGACTAGATTCACCTCGGGGATGGAGCCAAAGATTCTCTTTGCTTCGCTGATATACCCTTCCAAAGAATATGCTTGGATCATCACTGTGGAGGAAACGACGTCCCAAGAAGGCATCTTTTCAAACAGGATCTTTGCTGCGTCAAGTTGGCGATTCGTGGCATATGCCTTGAGCATCGCAGTCCAGGATACCCTGTCCCTCTCGGGCATCCTATCGAAAACTCCTTTGGATGTCTCGCAATCGCCGTTGTGGGCGTAGGTAACGATAAGATTCGTCCAGGAGAAGAGATTGGGATCATTGATCTCGTCAAAAACTTGCTGTGCGTTCGCAAGATCCCCAAACTTGCCATACATTTCGATCAGCAAGTTTGCGAGGAATCTCTCGCGAGAGTAGCCATCGCGGACGATTTGGACGTGTAAATCTCTTCCCTCGTCGATGGTGGTCACTCTAACCAAGGATTTGGCATAGAAATGCCGAGTTCTTCGCCTCTTTGGCAAGTTTCCAGGAGCGCGAGCTCGAGTTTCTAGCAGTTCCATAAGATTATCTCTTCCTGCCCGTCGGATCTAACCAAAGTGCTCTTTACAGCCGTTGGATCTCAACATTACAGACAAGTGGGAATATTTTCCCCTGTTAGGGTTTCACGCGCGATGGTGCCCGCAATTCGATGCGCCTGGCCCCGATTTCTCCTCTTCTAGGCGCTCCATCTCTAGAAATTGATTCTTCTCGTCTCGAGCTGCCGGTTTTGAGATAGATTTTCTCCGGCGGGGTTTCCAGGATGCGGACGAGCTTCCGGCTGCTGCTCTTCGCGCTCGCTATTGCGGCCTCCGCGGCAGCGGTGGTAGCAGCGGCGGTAGCAGCTCCTGTATGCCCCGTGCCATCGCTGGAGGAGTTGCTGCTGCCTCTCCGGGATTCCTGCCCCAAAATCACTCGCAACGCTGTCCCCAGGATCTGGTCGACATCGCCTTCCAGGGTCATCGAGGTATGGCATTGCGTGATTTTCGTCTCTAGAGGCTTAAATCGCGTGGTTCAGCTTGGCGAGGGAGCCTTGGAGCAGGCATTGAGCAACGAAACTTTCACTGCTGTTCTCTACTACGCGACGTGGTGCCAGTTCTCCAAGCAGCTCAAGCCAATGTTTGAGACACTCTCGATGATGTTCCCGACGATCTTCCATGTGGCAGTGGAGGAGTCTTCCATCAGGCCAGGGTATGTTCTTCAAACACGACTTTTCCTTTTGTATTTTTTAGTGGGGCTGTCGGTGGGCTGCTAAATTCACTCTTGCGAACACTGTTGCAGAGTGTTGTCAAAGTATGGAGTCTATAGTTTCCCAGTGCTATGCTTGCACAGTGGATCGTCCAGGTTTCGTTACTCGGGCCCGAGAACTTTGGAGGATCTGACGATGTTCTATGCCAATATCACAGGTACTTTTCCGTGCTTTTTCTTCTTCTACAGAGTTACTCTTGGCTTTTTGCAGACATGCCACCGTCCAAGTTGGTGAAGGCTTTTGGCGCAGAAAACAGTACTTCCAGTGAGCCCGCTCTGTCAGAGAGGCTTCAAAACGATAGTTACTTGGTGCTGGCGTCGTGGTTTCTCATTCTCAGGATCTTGCTGCTGGTTTTGCCGGTGGCAGTGAACAGGGTGAAGAATTTCTGGGAAAGGTGCCACCTTTACAGGATGATGAAGCCCAGGGGAGTCAACGACAACCAAGGAGCTGCAGAAAGAGGCTTCAAGCACAGGCGGCGATTGTCCGTCCCAGGATGGTCTCACCAGATCACTTCTCCATCGTCGTCGCTGGCCATTGCCGAGAGCAGCACGAGAAGAATCGGCCCAGCGGAAGATCTTGGCGGTAGAATCATGTAGGTGTTCGTTCCAGGATGGATTTTCTCAGGTGAAGATTTTTCATGGCATCATCCAGTTTGCTACGTAGGCACGACAAGAGTGAACAATTGATTTTGGGAATGCTGCTCCACATTATGAGATGGATTCCACAAAATGAGAGCTCGAGCTATGGTGAGCTATTCCTGGGAAGAAACTTTCTCTGTCTCCAGTTCCGCCGAGAAGAAGCAGCAGCAGAAATTCCAGCTTCCGGCTTGGGTAACTCGGCAGGCAGCGCAGTAGCGGCATTACCGAATGCATCGAGAAGAAGGAAAGCCAGGATTGGAGAAAAATCAAGCGTTCCTCCCAGTGGTGGTATCAGTCCCCGGAAGAGATTCAAGTAAGGATCAGTGACAGTGCTGCGGCGAGAAAGGATGAAAATGGTGTCAGCTCATGGTGGTGCGAGGACAAGAAAAAATCGGACCTGATTGGATTGACGATGGCTCGCGGAGCGTCTGGAAACCAAGTACAGATAATCCGGACGATGAGAAGAGTGTTGTAGAGGCTGAAGAAATTCGTGATGCCTCTGGTGACGACGAGCTCGGCGAGAGAGTCCCCGGGAATTATCGCGGCAAAGTTCTGGCAACGAAGTGGGCTGCTACGATTCGAGAGAATTGCTCGCCTGGATATCTGAGGATTGGAAGTTTTTTTTTTTTTCCGGGAGGAAGGATTCTCGACTCTCAATCTACTCGCATTGAAAGGAATGGAAGGATTCATACCTGGGAAGCTGTCAATCGATCCGGGAAGAGATTACGTAGTTGTGGAGGAAGCGAAGCTAGCGCCTGTGAAAAGGCCTCCTTGATTCTACCCTGGAGCTCTTCAATGCGGGATGCCGCGGCCCTGGCGAGAGGATTGTCGAGCAGCGCGTGTGGATTGGGGAGCGCGAGAAGGAGCATTGGCGCCGGAGGAGTTCCTCCGCCATTGTTCGCCATAGCCGAAACTTAAAATTTTCTTTAAAACCCCTTAGGAGTGTAGCTCACGAACCCTAGATTTTAGGGTACTGTTTGCGATGAAGAAGGCGCCAGTCCAAGAGGCGGAGTTGAAGAACAAGGCGGGCACGGCGTGGAGCCATTCCTATCTCAATCAGAAGCCCTGGCATCCGCTCTCGTATCCCAACCAGCGGCGCAAATGGATCGCGGAGCAGACACATTTGCAGCGGGAGCGCCGGAACGAGGATGTTGCGCGAGAGGTGAGTTTGGGAATTTGGCTGGCTTGATTATTGATCCTTTCTTCTCCACAGTTTGCACAAGAGCAAGAGTTTTATCGGCAAACTGCGATGCTATCCAAGAAAGAACAAGAGAAGGTATGGCTTTAATTTTATTTTACTAGTTCCACGAACGACCTTAGAATCATTTTGGCTGACTACGAATTTTTTTCTTCCAGGCCGAAGCTATGAAAGCTTTGAGCTTCATGTATTTGCGACCACCTGGTTACAATGCTGAGAGTGCCAGAGCAGCAGAGATTGCCGATGAGAGGAAAAAACTTGGTGATGATGATCCTGTTCCATCTGAGGAGTACACCAGGTATGTATATAATCTTTGCTCTAGATGTGGTGCTTAGCATCTGTTCTTTCTTTCCAGGCCACAGCCGGAAAAGAAAAAAGCCAGGGTGTTGGATATATACGGGAGACCTGTGCCAACTGAGGAAGAGTTTCCTGCCTTGAAGAATGCTCCCAGGTAAGTTTTAGAGCTACGAGAGATGATACTCAGGTCTCTGTCGTGCAAGCAGGCTCGATACTGGAACTATTGCTCGTGCAAAGCCATTTGGAGTGGAGATCCGAAATGTGAAATGTGCTCGATGTGGAAGTTTTGGCCACCAAAGTGGCGACCGAGAGTGCACCATGAAAGATACTATTATGCCAAGCGAGCAAGCACGGCTGAGGCGAGATGATCCTTTGAATGCGATGGTTGGACAGACTGAAAACGTAAGTGTGTCTTGTGTGGCGTGTTCTTATCGTCTTCTGACAATGTCATGCTGCAGAATAAATGGGAGCTGAAACAGCAACTTGGAGGCATGAGTCCTCCCCGTGGCGGCTTTAAGCCCGACGATCCGAATCAACAGATAATCGCGGAAGATGATGTTTATGACGAATATGGAGGTAGTTTTCGCTACGTTGTTTTCTAGTGTAGTAATGTTTTATTTTTTCGCAGGTTTTCTGGGAGAGGGATTGGCCGACGCACTTGCATCGTTTTCACGTGACCGTTTAAAAAGGGACAAAAAACGGCACAGGAAGGAGAAGAGGCATAAGAGAAAAAAGATGAGAACCGACGATTCAAGTAGCGACTCGGAAGATATGGAACCCACAAGAAAACACGGGCATAGAAAAGACGGGAGGGAGGGTGGAGCTACGGACGAGGAAGAAAAACCCGATAGAGATGAAAAGAAGCACAGCAGACGATTGGACGACTCAAGCGACTCGGATTCAAAGCATGGGAAAAGACACCACCGAAACTCGAACAGTAGGAATAGAGACGCAGAGAAAGACAGGCACAGGGACAGGAAGGATGCAGGAAGGGATCATGGTGGTGGAAGCTATGATTCGAGAAACGATCATAACGACGCCGTGGTCATTAAGAGCCGAAGAAGCGAGCCTCCTGTCGACAAGCACAATGGTGGAAGGGGTTCGAGGAAGGATGACGAGGCCGCCGACACAAGCCAAAGGCACAGCAGGCACCACCGTCGGTAGAGCCGGGGTTTTGGAGCTTCGCGGCTGTGCCACGCGAAGGCACACGCGTTTTATCATCTCAAAGCAGGGAACAAAAGAAAGGAAGGAAACAGGAAAAATGGCGCTTTTTGAGGTGGAGGAGAAGGATTGAGATCCATGACGACGATGACAAGCTCTGCGGTACGCTTGGTGCCACTTGCCGCAAAGATGTGCATGAAAGCCAAACACAGTGGCCAGCACAGGACGAGATTTTCCTGGCTTATCCAAACAGAAGGTGAGTAATTTTTACTCGTTTTTTTTTGTTTCTCGCTTTCGCAAAGCTAGAGCTTGTCTCGAACTTTCACCAAACAGTTTGACTTTGTCTCAGCTTTTCTTCGCTTTCTTTTTCTCGCAGGTGGGACGCGAGCACTATACGACCGAAAACGAAGTAGCAAAGAGCTTGAGGAGAGAGCGCGTAAGAAGATGTGATCAATAGTGTGATCGAGCTCTCCCTTTCGAAAGAAGAATCGTGAGGTAAGTCTCGTGGGGTCACAGGAAATCTCTCCACGCTTTCAATGCGCGTAAGATGATCTTAGCGTTTTTGGATTGATCAGGAAATCTAGAAGAAGTTTCTAAGAGGAACTTAAAACTTGAGAGGAAACTCCCGGCGCTGTTCAAAGCTTCTCGCGCGGGAGTAAAAAGAAGGTTTTTACGTCGCGCATCAAAACGTTGAATTTATTTGAAGATTCTTTGTCTGTGTGTTCATACTAAACCGGCGCCGGCGCAACGGCTAGTCCACGCCAACGTGGTCGTTGGAATGGTCCAGATTCCACACGCAGACCCTCGAACCGACGGCCAAGGTGCTGCCACGTAACGCCCCATGGGCATGTGTATGGCCATGTGTCCTCCTAGCTAAGCCCTAGGTGAGAGGGAGAACCGGAGCTTCGTGCGCTCTCACAGCAGCCCCGCGGCGATAGAGGCGCTAGCGATCCGCGGAGAATTTTCGAGCGCTGCGATTCTTGCAAGGTAGATCTTTCTTCCCTGGCGTGATTGACTGCCTGGATCGCCGTGGTGTTGTAGCTGAGCTAGGATGAATCCCTTGTTCGCTCGTTCTTGGCCCGAAATATCCTTTCCTTTCTCCTCTCAAATCGAATCCCTGCCTGCGTGAGGAAGGAATCGACTGATTGATTAGTCCTGCGGTGTGTTTCTTGGGAGAATGGTTTGATGTGAAGCGAATTTATTTCGTGTGCTTGAGCCTGAGCTGGGGAGGGAGCTCCCCCCTTTTCCTCTCTTCTATGCTATCTCTCTCACTCACATACTGGAGTGTGGTGTTGTACAGGGACCCGAATTTATGATTGACAATTGATTCACTGACTGGAAAGGGGGAGCTTTCACACAATTCCCTGGGCAGTGAGAGCTCCGGACAGGTCTGAAGCGAGAATTTTATGGAAGACAGGGACTTGTAGAGGCGGCTTTTCTGTTGATCATCGCGATAAGGTGATTGACTTTGGGTGGGAATGATATCTGGCGCTGCAAAGTTATGAGTGGTAGTACTCAGTATCATGGATCTCAAGTGCCCGCAATGATGCACTGGAAGCAGTGGACGATAAATTCGGCTCTGGTTCTTCAGAGACTACAAGAGGGTCTGTAGTGTAGACGGCGGAGAACCCAGGCAGGAGGAAAAGTATAGAGCAGGATGGGTTCAGGACGGGGTAGTATGATGGAAAGCGGCAGGAGAGTAGTCGTGACACTGTTTTTTATGCTGGCGATGCTGGGATCGTTGATGGTTTCTTCCGGGCCGCTTTTCGTTTCAGTCACGGATATCACTGTGCTGCTGCTCTCCGCCATGCTCGGCTGCTCATCGTGCTTATTCTCCCTGTCGGAGTGGAGGGCTTACAGCTTTCGATCTTCGGTGATTGATATCCCTCTCTTGTCGCTCATCCGATCGGTCATCATAATTTGTAAGTGTTCTTCCTCTTTTTTTTTTATTCTATCTTTTTGGATACAATCTGAAGATATGTTGCTCTTCAGGTGCGTACAGCCTGTGCAGCAGCCCGAGCTCCTACAGGCCGTATTTTGGAATCACGGTTATTTGCGGTGTATCTACGGCCATCTTCTTAACAGCAAAAGCTGCTTTGTTTAGTTTTGGGGTGCCTCCAACCGTGCTCGAGGAAGTGCAGCACATGCGGAATTCATGGGCCTTGCCTTTTTTATTCTTGTCCTCGATGGCATTTGGTCTTGCTCATATTATTATGGCACACCGAGCGCGGTATCAAGCAAGTCGCAAGTTGCTGTTTCGATGGGAAGACGAGGAAGCTGTAAGTTTGCACGGTCGTAAAGCATAGTCTTTGACCTCGGAACTTCGTTATTTGCTACAGGCTACTGTAGACAAGAAGCATCTCAAGTCCCTGAAGAAGCTTTCAAAGATGTCTCAGCTACTGGACGGGAAGTATCACAAAAGACGCGGAAGTGATTTACCAGCAAGCTCATTAGCCGATGCGGACAGCCTCTTTATGGATTGCAACAACGTCCTTGTTCATTACAAGCTGGTCGAAGGACATGGCAACTATCAACGCAGGGGACCCCGAGAGCATGACACTTCACCGAAGGACGTCGGCTCAACCGGAAGGTATCCGGTTGAGCAAGTTTTAAGCGGCTGCGACAACATACTTGGTGGCGGCTCTGCCGAAAGTGGCAATGGAAAGAATGGAGTGATCTTGATCCACGGTTTCGGCGGAGGTGTTTTCTCGTGGAGACATGTGATGAACCCGCTCGCCAGACAAACGCGTTCCACTGTCGTTGCATTTGATAGACCAGGATGGGGGTTGACTTCGCGGCCGAGCAGGAGTGAATGGCAGCAGAAACGTATCCCAAATCCTTACGAACTCAAGTCCCAGGTAACTTCGCTTTACTCGCTTCTATTTTATGTTATGTGTTGACTCTCTCCCAAACAGGTGGACTTGCTGTTCTCGTTTTGTGACAGACTCCTGCTCCGTTCCGTTGTGCTTGTTGGCCACGACGATGGAGGACTTCTCGCTCTCATGGCAGCTGCCAAGGCGTCCAAGACGAACAAGGTTGGTTTTTTTCTCTTTTCCCGATTTAAGACGATGGCACTGAGCTTGAGCTGTCCAGGTTGCTGTTAAAGGAGTTGTGCTCGTTGGTGTCAGCCTTTCCAGAGAGGTTGTACCGTCGTTTACACGAATCCTTCTTCACACGTCTCTTGGGCGTCAAATGCTGAGACCACTGCTGCGCTCGGAGATCGGACATGTCACCAATCGACGTGCGTGGCATGACGCGTCTAAGCTTACCGCGGACGTTCTCGAGCTTTACAAGGTCCGTGCAAAGCAAAGCCCACCACTCTTGAAAGTCTCTAACTCTCTCTCTCTCTTGCTGAACAGGCACCTTTACGTGTCGAAGGCTGGGATCAAGCACTCGCAGAAGTAACACGATCGTCCGTTGCCTGCACCGCGAGAGCTGCCGCCGAGTTGCTTCAAACAGTCGAAGATTTGCCAGCGCTTTTGGTGGCAGGCTTGCACGACATGCTGGTTCCGTTAAAGGCTGCGCAGTCGCTTGCTACAAAGCTCCCTCAATCCGTGAGTTCTTTGCATCCTTTTCGTTCCAAGTTCTTACGTGGTGGTTTTCATTGCAGAAATTCATTACTATACCAGGCTGCGGCCATCTTCCACCCGAGGAGTGCCCCGGGGCATTGCTCGCAGCCATGCTCCCATTCATACTTAGTATTTTTGACGCCAAGGATCCACTCTAGCCCATCGCCAGAAACTCCAGCAAGTGTACATAAAGAACACGCTCCGCTAGGAATGAAGCCTCGAGGATCTGTACACTAGACGCACACACTACTATCAGCCATCGTAGAGAAAAACGGGGAGAGAGAGCCGTAGAGAAAGAGCTTTCAATCTCAAGAAGGGAGTGAAGGCCTTCCTGGCAAAGAAAGAGGTTTTGTAAATATAAAGCTTTTATCTTTGTTGTCAGAAGTTTGGCTTCTACCTTGAGTTACCTTGAGGAAATTCGATGCTGGTGTGATCTTAGTTGGCTTAACGAATATGCTCGTGAAGCCTCTTGAAAATTTTTGCCTGGGAGAGTTTGAACTTAGTTGCCAGTAAAACGTCCCAAGACGAGCTGAAAGATTTGGAATGAAACAAGTCGAAAACAACAACGTTCTTGCTCGTCTTCTTCTGTGCCGGACAAGGATTCGAGCGTTGAGATCATTGTTTCGACGACCATGCTTTCGTTCTCTAGACTAACCTGTGAAGTAACAAAGTGAGCGCAGCTTTTGCTAAGCCGGGAGAGCAGTACCTCTTCATGCCTGGGATTTCCAGTAAACTCTTGGGCCTCGCTCTCTTCCATAAGTGCAATGCGAAGTGCTGCCAGTGGAGCCCGGCCTTCGCAAATGCGCTCTTCGAAAGCCACGGAGCTCGAACGAGATGTGAGACACCAAGTTGTAGCGTTCCATGAGTGCTACTTTCGCGGGAGACTCGGGCACCTCGAGCTCTGTACCAGATTTTGATAAGAACAGCGAAAGAAAAGGAACAAGAGTCGTCTTACCGACAGGAATTGTGTCGAATGGATTGTTCTCAAGAACGAAACCGTAGAAACACAGCAAGTCGATGTTCGGAAGCGCTCCATAGCTGATGAAGCACTGCATCCCGGCCTTGCAGGAGCGGAGTGAATAAACTTTTAAGCTGTTCGTAACAGCATCGATTTTGCTGTAGCGAGTAATGTGTGGGGTGGTCTGCGAGCACAAGTGAGTCTAGTGAGGAGCGAGCCATACCGAATGGTTCAGTAACACGTTCTGGTTTTACCATCCGGAAAGCTAACTTTCACGTACCACAACTCAGAAGCCCATAAAAAGTTTTCCCAGGTGTACAGGCTCTCTGGATAAACGTCCGGGTGGCTGTCTGATCCATTCGCGCCTCCTCCAAAATCTCCAGTCACAAAGTATGAAGTTCTCCCTGGCATACTTTGGCTACACAGGCTTAAAACAATGCTGAGAGTCACCTCGTTAGGCATCAGTCCTTAGTGGCATAGTCCTAAACACATGAATGCTTCTTGTGTTTTGCACGTAAGCAGCTACCATGCTCGACCAGGGCACCACATTCTTTGAAGAGCCGGAAGAACCCTGTGGACGGCCAGGATGCTACATCGGGTCTTAGGGTTCTTGGTTCTTTCTGGCGGTTTTGATTGTTTACACTCTGCCTGCCAGGCTCAAATCGGATTGCTGCTTCCGCTGCGTGCGAATGGAGAGGAGGATCCGTCGGTTGCAGCGAGGGCCGGAAGGAGCACCGATTTTGTTTTGTTGTTGAGGTTTCTTCGTCGGCATTGGAGATTTCAGTGGCATTTTGTTTGTCTCGTTCTTTTCCCGATCGATCAATGGCATGCCAGACAGGGTCGAGCTCAATCTGCATCAAATCTGGCTCCAGTGCGAAGATTATCCTGAGCTCGCAGTCCAAATCTCCACTGGCGACATTGTCAAAATGCTCCCAGGAGATCGTTTCTTCAAGTTTATGCTGTGTTCTTCTCTTAAAGGGAAGGCAGTAGCATCCCACAGTGACAATGTGCTTGCTTCCAACAAGCGAAAGAGGCAAATTGAGGACGATGAAGCATTTGCCCGAGCTTTGCAGCAGCAGGTATCTATCTCTTTTTTTCTACCTTCGTTCATGAAACAAGCAACTTGTGAGCTCAGCCGAGGATGATACCGAGGTATGTTCGTTTGTATGGCCACACGCTACAGGTTTCGTTGGATTGCCGAAACGTGGAGTTTTGGGACTGATGAGATTCACACCAGCAGAAGATCGCAAAGCTCCTGCGGCTGTGGAGATTGCTCTGGCTCTAAGAACACACGAGCTGGCGCCTGAGAGATCGAGAATGCTTCACAGCGCGACGATGCCTTGTGGTTTCCAGCTACTGCGTGTTCAAGGCTTGCTCGACTGGGCAAACGCTGGGTGCGTGCGAATTTGTGATGTGATAAAGGTGATTCGTGCTTTGGTGTTCTTACGTATAAGGATTCTTTTGTTTGCGATCCTCTCAAACTATATGGTGGACATCGAGTGGCTGCTCTCCGGTAAAGCTACTGAATGTTTTTTTTCTTCCAAATAATTTTTATTCGCAGCTTGCCCGCTTTTGAGGACGATCCTGCAAGTGGTGATGATTCACGGAGAGAGCAACGTTTCACAATTGCAGGTTCACGCTGTTCTATCTATTGCCTTTAGTCTAATGCCTTTTTTTTCTTGTAGTCTGTGAAGCCAAGTAACCGGCTCCTCTTCAAGCCGAGATTATGGATCGCATATGGAACACCCCATTCCCTACTTGTCTATCCAACTGGTGTCCAGGTTGTTGTGCACACTGCAAATCTCATCAATATCGATTGGAATAACAAGAATCAAGGCCTGTGGATGCAAGATTTTCCTTTCAAAAGTAAGACGGGCGCATCAGACTTTGAAAACGATCTGGTGGACTATTTGACGGCTCTTGAGGTACACCAAGTTTCCTGTAACTGTTTGGGAGCAAGATCAGTTTTTTACAGTGGTTGGGATGTACTGTAGATGTCCAACACCATGGAAAGATGAAGATCAACGTAGGCCACTTCCGAAACTTTTATTTCAGCAATGCTGCAGTATGTAATGATTTTGCACTTTCAAATGAATGAAATTGACATGCCGAGCTCTACCAGGTACGGCTGGTAGCATCTGTACCTGGCTATCATAGTGGCCCTCAGCTGAATAAGTGGGGTCATATGAAGCTCCATTTCACAGGCTTTAGATAATCCTTTTTAGCCTGGTGTGGAGAGAGTTTGGTGAGGCACTTATTAAGATCCATGCAATTGAAGGTGATGTGCTTGTGGTATACAAATATATTTCCTTCCAGTTAACTGCTTTCTTGTGGCTTTCTTGTTCAGGAGGTGAGTAATGGGTTTAGGGCTACATTTAAGCTATACTTTAGTGAAAGTTGGTGTATAAGCTAATGTTATTGGGAATTAAAGATTTCTTTAATAAAGTTGAACAGCCTAGAAAGGTATGTGTTTTTTGTTGTTTTTCCTCTTGTTTTTTATATTATTTTCTTAGCCTGAAGCTTTTTGTTAATTCTTAGTGCTTAATCTATTGTATTGAAATTGCAAAATTCATGGTTGATTATCTAAACAAAAAACTTAAGATTTTCTTTGGCAATCAGTTAATTTTTATATAAAAAATCTACATTTTGTTAGAACTCACATGTTTTCCACTTGTTTTTTTATCTTCAGTGATATTTTCTAATTTGAAAATATGTGAGTACTAACAGAATATGGATTTCTGAAGTGAAAACTAATCGATTGCTGAGAAAGATTTTGAGCTTTCTGTCCAGACAATTAACCATAAATTTTGCAGTTTCGATATAATAAATTAAACATTGAGAATTAACAAAAAGCTTCAGACTAAGAAAACAACATAAAAAACAAAAGGAAAATCAACAAAAAAACACATACCTTTCTAGGTTATTCAACTTTTTTATCACTTTCTTCTATTAAGATAAAAAATCTTCAATTCTTAGTAGCATTGATTTGTACATTAATTTGATTAGGGATTACATTTTATCTGCAGCCACTTCATCCAAGGAGATAAAATATATTTTTTTGTCTTCCTTCTTCATGTTCATTCAGGGGTATAACTCAAATGTAATATATTAAGCCTTAAACCCATTACTCACCTCCTGATTAAAAAAGCCATTAGTTGGAAGGAAATATATTTACTTACCACAAGCACTATTGCTTTTAGTTGCATGGATCTTGGTAAACACCTCACTAAACCCTCTTTGCACACTGCCCTAAATTGATCCTTTTAGGGGATTATCTAAAGCTCCTAAAATCTTAGAATATTCCTTAGACAGAATTTGGATGATGCTTTTAGGGGATTATCTAAAGCCTGTGAAATCCTAAAATATTCTTTAGATAAAATCTAAATATTCTAGTATGGTGAAAGGTAGAAAGTGTTTGGCGAGGTGCTTACCAAGATCTATATGACGGAAAACGATGACATTTGCAATATAAGTTGATGCTATCAAGAATTAAAAATTTCTCATCTTAATGGGACAAGACTATGAGAAAGCTAGACAGCCTAGAAAGGTATATTTTTCCTTTTGTTTTTGATACTGTTTTTTTAGCTTAAAGCCTTTTATTGATTTTTAGTGTTTAATCTATTGTATTGAGACTATGGTCAATTGCTTGGATAAAAAGTTCAAGATTTCCCTTGGCAATTAATTAGTTTTCATCTAAAAACTTTATGTTTTATTAATGCTCACATATTTTTAGATTGGAAAATACCACTAAGGAGGATAAAATTGTGTTACTTTTACGCCCATTTAAAAGCTTGAAAAACAACAAAAACAATCTTTCTCAAAAACTATGTGATATATATCTCAAGTTTGATATTGCCCAACAAAATGCCAAAAGAAAGGGCAAATTTGAACCCTTTCTCAAGCTGGGTGAGATGGGCCTATTAATAAAGTTGGGAGAAGCAAGTTAACATTCTCATTCTGATTCATTTTTTATTTTTTATTTTTTTTTTAGATAAGCATTGATCAACTTAGAGCTAAACCACTTGTGCTGCCTCATCTGAAGTCAAGGAGATATGCTGAATTGCATCACATCTTGAGTGAGCTTGATCTGAGTACATTTTTTATTTTTTTTGTGTTTCAAATTTTAGATTGATTATTTTTGCAATTGATAAGCAAATGAGAGCAAAAACATTGTAAAGGGCTTCATTGAAAGAGGTGAAGTAAACAATGATGCTTTTCTAAAAGCATCTTCCGGTCTGATCATTTTCAATATGCATATCATGTTGGAGGACCCAATTTTGTAAGTTGTGGCATTTTCATTTTGTTCATTTTCATTTTTTATTTTCTTCAGGTCACCCCCAGCTCGCCCTCCTCTTTCGGTGAAAACAAATCTTTTGGTTAAGACTGATCAGCACAGTGAGTGTTGTTATTTATTCAGTTTTCTCTGCAAATCTTACTAAGATTTTTCCTTCTTTACAAATGTTACTGTTCAAGTGAAAGATCAATTTTAGGCGGAGACAAAGTTACTTGTTTCAGGCCCAGTACCTTGGCTCAGCAATGGATATCTTTGCAGAAAGAGATGACTCAGGAGAGTGGGGAGTGGGTGTTTGAGATGAACATGCTATTCCCAAAAGGAAAGCAGGCATACGAATGTCAGATTCTGCAGGTTTGTCTGTTTCATTTGTTTGTTTCTTTGTCAGTTTTTTATTTCCTTGCTGCAGTACGATGGCATCACAAATACACATGAATGTGGTGTGAAGTTTATGATTGATCCGAACATGGAGAAGGTGCTCATTAAGTTAAAGGCCTGGTAAGTGCTTTTAGCTCAAATGAAATGTGTCTTTTGATTTTCCTTTTGACAGGAAATAAATCAAGAGTCATGATCCTTGTGTTTTCATAGTCAGAAGTAGAATAAAAGAGAGGTTTTGTTGTTGTTGTTTGTCCGGCATTTTCTTTCCGGCAACCATGTCGTATACAGAACTAAGGATCACCTCCAACATTTCTTCCTTCCTCTCTTCGCAGAATAAATCACCAACGGCTTGAGATTTTCAGCTGAAGTGATTAGGTCAATAATGCTAATTTATATGATTTTTCCAACGGCTGGAGGTAAGTATTCACTTTCTACCTAGCGAAGAACAGGGATGTGTCTCGTCGATCAGGATGAGTTCCTGGCTTGCGTTTAGTGTTATGGAGCAAATGGTGGACGGTAAGACGCCTAGAGGCGAGCTTTCTAGTGCTGCGATCTATGCGCGGTAAGTGCTCTAGTTCGATCTGTGAGATTTCTATGACGGTTTTTTCTCTCTTTCTCCGCGAAAAACCAAAGATTGAATGGAGTGACAGGCAGGAGGATGAGAGAAAATTCTCGAAAGATATGCTCCTGTTTCTGTGCAAAACGAAGCACGAAACTTGCTCAAGTTTTGCTGCTTTCGGTTCCTGGGAAGAGGCTCCGGAGATTTCATTCCAAACTTAAAGGTAGAACTTGTCAAAACGTTTCCAAACGTTTGATTTGTGATCGCTCTCTCTTCCTCCAGGATGCTGCGTTTCGACGTCTCACCTTTATAACAATGCTGGGATGGCAGCAACCTTACATGGAAGCTCAAGCTCAAGGAAAAGTTCAAGTAAGCAGTTTTTCTGATTCGGGCTTTGCTAACGCTTCTTTGTAACAGGAATTTCCAAACCAACTTGAGACATCGAGACATCAAAGCTACCAATGTACTTTTGGATCAAGCTCTGGTGGCAAAGATAGCGGACTTTGGTTTGGCAAGGCTCTTCGAAGATCATCAGTACGAGGGTGGCAGGAACAATGTGAGAGCTCAAAATTGCTTGATCTGATCATCTCTGATTTTTCTTTCTTCTTTCAGGGGATGCCTGCCTGCAGATGTCTACAGCTTTGGAGTTCTGGTACTAGAAATCGTGAGCGGAAGAACCAATCTGGACACCACGAGTGAAGACATGACCCATCTTCTCGATCACGTACGTATAAAGATTTACGAAGTGTTTGCTCTTTAACTCGCGTCAATTATCAGTACCATAGCGATAAGCTACTAGAACTCCTGGACAAGAGAGCCGACAATGCCGACGACGAACAAGTTATAAGCACCCAAGCGACAGCATCACAGCGTCCAGCAATGTCCAAAGTTGTGGCGATGCTCACCGGCAGCGAGGAGGTGAGGGTGAGCTCCTTGCTCCCGGGATGCTTCAGCGTCATGGAGCCGAGAGCGCCGATCGAGCAAAGACCCCTGCAGCAGTGCCAGCAGCAGCATGATCGGGACTGACTCGCAATGGCAAGGATCTTCATCGGCAAACAATTCAAACTCGCGGTTCTGGCCACAGTGATCAGTGCGTTCTGGCAAGGCGATCAGAATGGTGGAATCGACGCGCAACGACAGCTGATACTTCCAAGGTAGAGCCTCGAGTTTTGAAGCCATAGAGATGCCAGGGATATGCCCAATCCCGGTATATTGAAAGCCCGCGTCCCTCCTCCGTGGATGCCGCCACATTGGCGAAGTCTCCACACCCACGTCTCCAGCAATGGCTGGATCCGCAAGACCTTCGTCGCTGTCCAGATGTATGGCGCCCTCGGCGGCGCTGGCACAGGAATCTCTTTTCCTGGAACATCACCCTGGGCCGGCTGGAAGATGCCTGGGACCTCTTTCGGAAGATGCCCAGCAGCGATACCGTGCCGTGGAATCTCATGTTTGCAGCATATGCCCGATCAGGGCATCTTGTTAGCCAGAAATCTCTTTGATTCCATTCCCAGGAAGAGCCTCGTGTCCTGCATTAGCCATGGATTCCTGGACGAGGCTACGGTTTTGTTTAATCGCACCCCGGGCAAGAACGTTGTCTCCTGATCCAAGCGTACGCCGGGCCAGAGATGTCTTTGACAGAATGCCGCTCACGGATCTCATCTCCTGGACGCTGATCGTCACGGGTCACGTCGCGCGGGGCAAGATCGAGGAGGGATCCAGGCGATGCCGGAGAGGAGCGCTGTGGCTTGGAACGCGATGATCCAGGCGAGCTGTCAGGAAGGGGATGTGGATGCCGCAGCGTCGCTTTTCACGGCCAAGACGCCTGGGCGGGATTGTAGCTCCTGGACGTCGATGATCTCTGGCTATGCCAGGAACGATCGAATCGGGGCGGCAGTGGCGGTATTTTGGCGAATGCCGACGTGGAGCCTCATTTCCTGGAACGCCATGGCCATTGCGCCGGCCGAGAGCGGCGATCTCTCCTCGGCCAAGAATCTCTTGGATCGCATCCCAGAGAAGAACTGCGTCTCCTGGAACGCGATGATCCAGGCCTACACAGCGAGCGGGGGTTTGATCGCCGCTGTAGAGGTCTTCGATCGAATGCCGCAGCCCGACGTGATCTCCTTCACCACGATTGCCGTGGCGATCGCACAGGGCGGGGATCTGGACCGCGCCAGGGCGCTGTTGGATGCCATGCCAGAGCGAAATCTTGTTTCCCGGAACGCGATGATGGCCGGCTACGCCCAGAGTGGAGTTGGCGACCACGAAGTTGCCGTACACCAGTCTCAACAATCCCTGCTGGATGGTTTAATGATCTGTCCTCCATTGAGACTGTAGGCTGTAGGAAGAGGAAGAGGTCTGTGAATATTCGTTAGGGTTTATTGGCCCCTAAATATGTGTGCCCTAGAGTATTATTGGCCACCGAACCGAAACCGTACAAAATCCAGTCCCCAACAAAGGCTCGAAAAGTTCTGTGCTGGTCCGCAAAAACCTTCATGGAATCCTGGGCAGCATGGAGATGCTTGCAAACAAGAGTATGGAGTTCCTGTATGGCGTGAAGATGCTCTTGTAGATCAGAATCTTGAACGATCAGTGGAGAAAATAGACCAAACAATGTCCTGAGGAATCCCGTGAAAACGAACAATCCCCTCCCAGAAAACTTCAACAACTATCTACTGCTCGCCAGTACTTTTCCCTTCTCAAATCACGACGTCAAAGAGTCGAACAGAAATCCGACTCACCACACTCCAGCGTGACAGTTTCAGAGATAATTATCTCGCTGGGAATGTCAAGGACGAGATCTCCAGCTTTTAAATCGCACGCTGCAGCCCCTCCTCTACCATATCCTTCAAAATCTGTTTTGTCACAAAGCTTTTAAGATCGTCGCAGAAAAAAATACCAAGACGCACCAGCTATGTCAATGTTGCTTTTGACTCCTCTATCCTTTGCCCATTCAGACAAAGATTTCTCTGCGTTCCTCTCGCACGGAGCGGCAAAGTTGCCTACATTGCTTTAAATTCATCCAGCCTTTTCAAAACCATTTTCTCGAGCTCGGAATCCGTGCTGGAAACCAGCAAAGATCGAACGACGCCATTTCGTTTCGAGCACTGATCATGCCGCTTTCATCGTCTTCCAGAAAATAACATTCTGTCTGAGAGCAAAGAAGAAAAACAAAAGAAAACAGCAAATCTTCGATAGAGCAATGACGAACTCTTACCTCGTTGAGCTCTAGAATCCGTGCTGCCTCTAATGCTTCCTCCAGCCACTGGCATTTCTCTTTACTGGGCTTTGGAAATCGCAGCTTGAGGCCTCGATCCTCCAAAATCCTCTGCATTTCATCCAAAATTCATCCTCTACACACTCGCGCCCCGATCAATCAGAGATTACCTCTTTCGCTCGCGCCAGTGGGTCGCCAATAAACCCTAACGAATATTCTCTTAAATTTTAAGAATTAAATAGCTGCCACGTATACCAATCTTTTTGTGCCGCGTGTGCTTTTCCCGCGTAACGGTGAGCTAAACAGACAATAGGGCAGGCTATGGCGAGCGAGGCCGCGATGGGGCTGGCGATGCCGCTCGGCTGCTGGTGAGTGATTCTTGCCAGATCGTCTGGGAGTACTGATCTTCGCCGAGCGCCTGAAGATGAGAGGGGGCAGATTTCTCAACTCTCTGCGGCAGCTAGCCAGGCAGCCAGTGAGCAACACGCCTTTGATCCGCAACGCATTCGAGCTGGGGCACTGCGTTTCCAAGCCGATCAAGCACGGGTGTATGTCGCCGCCGTCCAAGGAGAAGCAGTACTTTTTGATCGGGCTCTCGTCGTCGATGAAGCAGCAGCACGCCGCTGCCATGAAGAACCTGCTGACTTCCACACACATCAAGAACAGCAGCTCTGCCGCTGCTATGGTGCAAGAACCTCTGGAAGATAAAATGGAAGCTCCTCCTCCGATAGAGGACAATGTGGTTCCTCCTGCACTGGAAACATCTTCTCCTGCCGAGCAAGTTTGTGATGCTGGGATTTCTCCCGGTTACTGGGGCGTGTGTTTCGGCAAGCCGAACGATGTTGGGTCGAAGATTTGGAATTCCTTCCGGGTAAGTTCGTATGTTTTTTGAGTCCGATCATTGATGGTTCTAACTTGGAGAGCTTTTCAGCCATCGGAGAACCGGATAATTGAGGCTGAGGCGAGTATCGACGTAAACAAGCACAGGAACCCAGAGAATTTCTCCGACCAGTTTGCGAGGCTGGCCGTGATGGCTCTAAGATCTCCCACCGACTTGCTCTTTCGGGTGATGCTGCACAACCATTTCTAAAGTTTCATATAAGTTTGACATCTAAAGCAGTAACGTGAGTTTTGGCTTTCTCGTTTTTCTTCTTTACGTTTCTCACGCTCGCTTTTGCTCTCTCTCGTTATTGCAGCAACGTTACATATGTCGAGCCGCAATGCTAGAAACCATCTCTGGTGTTCCCGGAATGGTTGGGGGGATGGTTTTGCATTGTAAGTCTCTGAGGCGAGTAGAGCACAGTGGAGGGTGGATCAAGGCTCTTATGGAAGAAGCAGAAAACGAACGAATGCACCTGATGACGTTCATGGAGCTGTCCAAACCATCGTGGCAGGAACGGGCCTTGGTTTTTACTGCTCAAGGGATGTTTATGAACGCGTATTTCCTGCTTTACGTCGTTTCTCCTCGGTTTGCTCATCGGATGGCGGGGTACATCAGAGAGGAGACAATCCAGTCGTATACACAACTCATCAATGACATAGACGACGGAAAGGTCCCAAACGCTTCTGCGCCGGACCTTGCTATCGATTACTGGAGGTTGCCAATTGATGCGACACTACGGGACGTTGTCATGGTCATTCGGGCAGATGAAATACACCATCGCGAAATAAATCACTTCGCTGCTGTAAGTCTCAGTCTTCTACAATCTTCGCATGAGTTTTGTTTTCGGTGTTCTACTTTCAGGATGTTTATATGCAAGGGCATACTCTCAAAGAGGCTCCTGCAGATATGGTCACCATGACAACTAGCTTTGGTGAGCTTTTATCAAATCATTCTGTCTTAATAAGTGTCCCTTTCACAGCGAGGAGTCACGCGTCGACTACGTAGAGATCATTCAGCCGCTCAACAATGATTCGCTCATGTTATTTTGTGTTTCCAGAAATATAGATGGCCTTCCACAGACAAATTTCCTTTTAAAAATTGATGTTTGTTCCGCTTTTCAGACAATCTCTTACCAACTCGTCCGACACGCTTTTTCTAAGTTTTTCGGGGAGGTACGTTTCATAGCTGGAAGGCGATTTGATACCAATGGAGATGTTGATGTCTTTGTCTATGTGGCTCTGACTCTTTTATTACAGGTTGGTCCTCCGAGCAGTATCCGACACACTCAATAGTGCTTCAGGACACGAGCTTTAAAACAATCAGGTAAACACAAACCAAATTTTCTTGTCTAAAATCTTGGTAGATCGGCTGGATCGGCTGGAAGCTCTGGCTCCTTTATGACGGGTAGGTCCTCCGAGCAGTATCCGACACATTCAATGGGACTTCAGCTTATGCACGAGCTCTAAAACAATTAAGGTAAACACAAACGAATTTTTCTTGTCTAACATTGTGGTAGATCGGGAGGAGGTGGTGGAAGCGTCTGGTTACCGGGTCCATTCTGGACGATGAAAGTGGTTGCTAGTCCCCATGACGTGTGGATTTCCAGATGGCAATGCATATACCAGACTCCTGCAGAAGCAGAAACGACAGGATGAATTTAGCAGGATTGAACAGGCTACCTGGATTATCGGCCCAGAATCTTATAGCAGCCCAGCCACCAACGGGTACAGCAACTGTGTTTCTTCGAGGAGGGTCCACGAGATTGAAAGCTGCCGCTGCGGAGTTATTGAAGTTTCCAAATCCTTGGCCAACAATGTAGAAGCTAAATCCATGGAGATGGATCGGGTGGTTCTCAACCCCAAGTATACTGGTGTCCTGGAGCACCATCTGGACGCTGGCATTGAAAGGGATGACAGCAGCTCTGGTTCCTCGGAGCGGGGTGATATTACTTGGAGGATTTCCGGTGTAGTCGAACACGTTCAGAGGCTGGGCTGGGAAGTCCGGGGAGAAGACGTTGGAAATGTTGAAGAAATAGGCCTGGAGCACGGAGACAGATGGAAGAACAAACGATATGTTACTCACGGAAGCCGTGAACTTGCTTCCATTCGGTCCCTGGCAGCCAAAGTTGGCGTCGCACGGTTTCGCCCCGAGTCCGACCGTGAGGAAAAAGTTGGAAGTTATCGTCTGTGGAACGGGCTCCGGGTGCTGAGCGTTGGCAAGGCTTCGCAGGCTGGTGGAAAACGTTGTCACGAACGCAGTGTCGTTACTTTGTGGGAAGTTTGGCATCACCGGTGTAGAGGAAGCATTGGAGCCAGCGTACTCGAGGATTGCCAGTGTGGGAGTCATGCGAAAAGGAACGTTCATCGCCGACATGTAGGGACTGGCACCCATGTAGTAGCGTCCAACAGGCTGATCAGTGGTGAGAAGAACGTTCGTCGTCTGGCCAGGAGTTATCATGATGGAAGTGGTGCTATAAGGCTTGGTGTAGTCTCCGTCCGTCTCCACCACCGTGATGTTATGGTTAGCGACCGAGAAGAAGAGCTCAATATTAAGTGCTGCGTTGATGATCCGAAGAAGGTAGACTTTGTTTGGTTGGACCCGGAGCTTGTACACGTCTGTAGCAGCAGCAATAGCAGCAGGCAGAGAATCTCAGCGGAAAGGAAGAGAAGAGCTTTAAAGTGGCTGGAAAAGAAAGCTAGAGTACGAGTTCTGGCGTTTAAGGGGAGCAGCAGCAAGTGGAACTCACCATTAGCGGAACAGTTGTAGAGAGGGCCGGGCAATCCATTGATGGTGTAAGCATCCGAAAGAGCAGGGCCTCCGCCGGTTAGCAGCGCTTGGGTCTCGACGTCCTCGACATTAGCATTCCACCATTCGCCTGCGAGAAAGAAATCGGAAAGTCAGTCAGTTCCAGGAACAATGCTGCTTCTTCGTTGTACCCAGAATTATGATGTGCTCTTCCTTGGGGAAGACAAAGGGATAAGGCTCTCCAGAAGTTGGAAAGACGACCATGGCTCCGTGGACAGTCGCTCGCAGCCAAGTCTCGTGAGCATGATAGAAGAGAGTTCCGCTCTGCCTGACAATGGTGTAGTTGTAGAGGTATGATCCCCCAGGTTGGATCGGGCACTGGGTGACATAGGCAGGTCCATCGGCCCAGCAGGAGAAGAGCTGCCGGATGCCGTGCCTGTGAGAAATCCAGCGACTTAAGTTCACGACGAGAGAACAGGATTTCTACGCGGGGAAGAAGCTCACCAGTGCATCGTGATGTTATACGGTCCATTGTTGGTAACATTGATGAGAAGACGGTCACCTTGGTTTGCAAAGATGACCGGACCGGGGTACCTTCCGTTCACAGCGACAAGAGACTTCGAGTTGCAAAGTCGCCTCACGTTTGTCGACCGGATCTGAGCAGCAGCAGCAGCAGCAAGACAGTGTCACTACTGCTGGAGCAACAAACAAAAGCAGGCAAGCAAAGAGGTATTCCCTTTCGCTAAAGAACAAGCTCCCTTACAGTGAAGTTGTAGACACGAGTTGTGGAAGTAGTAGAGTCGGCGGCGCTTGAAACACCGGCTGCAACGAGCAAGCCAATTGCTACGACGAGAATGCGGGTGTGGATCTGCATTGCCTCCTCCCTGCTGCTGCTACCAGAGACGAGACAAACTATGGAGACAATGGGGACGATCAAACTTTATGCGCCCTCCCTCGTGCACGGCACTTCCGGCTATGAAGTTCAATTTATGTGCATACAGGGGAGTGACAGTCCTGGTCCCAGTAACTCCAGCGGATTTTACATCTAGTTCCTCCTAAGGGTGAGGCGTGATTCTTCCCGCAGCAAATTTTTTATGTCTAACTTTTCCTTTCATCTTAGGTGGTGGTTCTTCTGTCAACGTTGTGGAGGCTTTCGCTACCTGCTGTGGCACGTTCCGGAGCGTTATGTCAATTGCTAGATCGGTGCGTATACACTTCCGTGGCAGCAGCGTCCATTGCGAATCTGGAGCAGCGAGAGAGCACACTGGAAAGACAACAAAGGTTTATTTTTTTCCCTTCGAATTTTACCAGGCAGTGTCACTCACGGGGCCTTGACTCTTCGCGTTTGTTAGTTGAGTGGCGTGGTCCTGTCTTCTATCGACCATGAAGAACACGGAAGAACAAAAAAGAAAAGTAGAAAAATACAAGCCAATAAAAACCTGGCCCATGCAGGATTTGAACCTACGACCTTAGCTAATTAAACCGTTTAATCGTAAACAATTTGAATATTAAGTAAAAAATGTATGCGCCTGCGACCTTGGCGTTTATTCATCTTTGTTTTAACATTAACTAAACCAAAGGTTCAAGGTTTTGGATTTTGATCAAGCACAATAGAAGTCAAAAATGTGGCCCATGCAGGTTTCGAACCTGCGACCTTGGCGTTATTAGCACCACGCTCTGACCAACTGAGCTAATAGGCCTTACATGCAAACTTCTGTTTTAACATTAACTAAACCAAAGTTTCTGTAATAAGGTTTTGAAATGAACGAAAAAAGTGTAGGTCAAAAATGTAGCCCATACAGGTTTCGAACCTATGACCTTGGCGTAAACTTCTGTTTTGACATTAACTAAACCAAATTTTCTCTAATTTATGTAAACAATATTTTTAACTCAATGGTTTATAATTGTTATAAATTTAGTTACTTCTAATATAATGTGTGTGATCGCTATTTTAGACCTCTAGCAAAAGAATGTGTATCACCAAGGAGTGCGCGGATCCAACCAAGGCTGGAGTTTACTGGAGGGAGGATGACTGCTGGGTGAGATACCGCCCAAGCATCGAGCATGTCATTCGTGGTGCTCGCATGAAGCGCAAGGTTTGATAGGACTGCGAGAAAGTATTGAGTGATTTGCATGGCTTTGCTGAATCCCAGGCCTCCAAGTATGCATCAAGAATTTCCCTTGGAAGAATCACTTCGAAAAAGTATCCCAGTGGAAGGAGATACGAGATTGATCTGGATCACATGGAGCAAGTCAATCTGCGAAGTGGCTATCGCCGGAAGATCAAGATAATTGGAAGCGATGCGATTGTATACTTCGAATTCTCTTACTTCCTGATCTTCTTTTTTCTTTCCAGACTTCCGAGGACCAAGCGATCGGGCATGCAGTTGAGGAGCTCCTCCAGCTCATGAACAAGGAGAGTTTCCTCAAGAAGGTGATCATGGACAAGCACCCAAAGATCAAAAACGTTCGAGCCAACAAGCTCCTTGCCAACAAGCCGGAAATCTACTGCAAGTTCGTCCGAGCACTCATTAAAGAGGCTGCCACGACCAACAAAGAACTTATCAGTAAGGCTCTATACAAATCTAGCCATACAAGCAATTCTTCTTAACAACCATGTCACAGTGGAGATGTTCTGTGCTCTCAGGCAGGCCGATACTTCGGAGCTAAAGTCTCTCGAATACGTCTTTCACGGAACTCCATCCAAAAACTTACAATCCATCGAGAAAAATGGACTGGACGCGACGCTCTGCGGCTCCACCCAGAAGTTTTGGGTCGGAAAAACTCCCGAAGTGAGCGTCGAATACTGCAGAGAAGTAGCTTCTTCTCACGCGACCATGGTGCTGTTCCTGGAACTGCGAGGACAAGGGGAGAGTACCTGGGATCTTAACAGACGGAGTGTTCCCAATACCAAGTCGGGCGTTTTACTGCCAGTGGCGGAGGTTGATGTGCCAGTTCCCTGGTGGTTAGCATCCACAACCTCATCACTAAAACCATCCAGCAATTACTCACGGTCGGAACATTCCAACAGATACTCATACAGCAGCAGCGACGACGATTATTAAGTCTTGCTTTCAAATATCATGCAAGGATGATCACGTATACATACCAGTTATTTTATCTCTCACCGAATTAAAAGTTTCAATGATCCACTGGGGGTTTGAAGCTTTAGACTGGAAGTTTGTGATGTATGCTCCCATGTTCTAAAATCATAAGGATTGTGTGAGCTAGTTAGAGTTAGATTATAATTATTGCAAGCAGAAGATAAACTCAACTGAATAGACAAGGATTATATGTCAAAACATTTCAATAATTTAATTAAATAATTTCGAACCATCATCTAGAAACTATGGGATAAATAGTGTCATTTAAGATTTTTTTCTTGAATTTATAATTAATAACTTTAACATTTTTTAAATTAAAACATTTTAAAAGTATATGTAATATATTTTATTATGATTAAATTTTAAACTTTTATTAAGATTAAAAATTACTTGAATAAAAAAACTTCAATGTCTTTGAAAGATTTCATTACACATATATAATTAAATTTTATTAAAATAACAAATAGTTTCCTTAAGGAAATCACATAATTATGTTTTATAATTTTTAAAAAAGTTTCACTAATTATTCCTGTATTATATGGTTTACATGTAATCTCTAAAATTTTAACTAATATTTTTGTAGATTTTTTAAAATAAATTTAATATTTTTGTGAAAAATGTCATGAGGCACAAGAAAAGTTACATACCTAATATTTTATATTTAATTTATATACACAATTCAAATTATTTGTATGATAGAAGTAGTGACTTGTCTTGTATTATATTTATTTCCTAATAAATTACAAAAGAAAATGTTAAAATAGAAATATAATATATAAAATTATATTTATGTTTTTATAAGAAATAATTATTATTATAGTTCTATTAATATATCAATCAAGAATATAAGAATATAATGTTATCAAATATTCAACCTTTGCTTTAATTTTAAACCCTATTATTGGGATATCTGTCTCCAACTATAAATGGTACAACTATTTTTATAGAAATCTTAATAATGCTATTGAAACACTACTGACCACACTAAGATAATAAAAATATACAAAAAATAAATTACAAAATAAATAATATATTGTTTTTCACTAATTTTAAATATTATAAAGAAATGTAGATAATAGTTCAATAACACTAAGAATAATAATGTTAGCTTATCCATACATGTTGTTTTTACTTCTGCCTTCACATAATTAACATAAATAATTGGAAGTTTATATAATTAAAAATTGATTATAAACTAACTCTAGAGTAACTTTATTATTAATGTAAATGTGATATCATATACAAATTATCAATTCTTTATGATAGAATCATGACACATAATCAAAATAACCATTCTAAAATAAGAGTTTAAACTTTTATCATTTAACCTCTATATGACTAAATTATTATATGTTAATAAAATAGATAATTATATGTAGTGGATAATGATGTATATATATTAAAAATATTGCAGCTATACAGTTAAAGGCTCCAACTCTAGGGCAGAAAGCTCTAGATATTCGAGCTCCAGGTCCAGGGCAGGAAGTTCGTTTTCTAAACTTTTAAAATTTAATAAGGTTAAAGTTCTATACAAGATTACAATTAAGAGGAATAATCAAATTAAATGGAATTTTAATTACATTTACTCAAGAAATTAAGCTTCAAATGATGAATTTAGAGTAAAATTATTTAGAATTTTAAAATTTTGAAAAAAAAAATTATTCCTAAAATTTATATGATATTTTAAATTGCATATGAGAAAAGAGTATTTTATTAATTTTATATTATTTAATTTACACATACAATGTTATTATAGAAAACTATGTATTCCATAATATAAAATAGAAAATTTGAAGAGCTATATGTGTTTTGTTTTGTAAATTACAATTAATTTTATTAATAATCTTATGTTACTTATTAATACAGTCATCTTTGAATATAATTATGTTTAATTGTTGGCTGACTTAGATTTAGTTTAAGAATTTTATAATATCATATATTTTAACACTTTTTTTACATTAATATATTATGTATCTATAGTAATAAGAATGAAGGGCTCAGACCCCCACAGCCGTCCGATCCCAGGCCCAAGGCACCTTTGGGAAGCAATGGTTCTCAGAAAAGGGAGGCCACCCCAGACCTGGCCAAGGTTGGTGGCCATGGTTAACTAGAATATTGGTTCAATGTTATGGTGGCCAATGGGCAGGATGCATGTGTGGCCGGGAAGAGAAGAGGGCGTGGTGACAGGTGTTACACTATGCACTCGTAGGGTTCTATGGCTGCTTTGCTTGCTCACGGTGCATGAGCAGCACCACAGCATAAGTACTTTTTAATACATAAAAAAAACATAATAAGCAATAATAATGATTGAGATAACTTTAGTACAATAGCCACACAATATAGTAAACTATAATCTAAAGAAATGTGATTCATCATCAATTGATTGTTTAGTATTATTAAGTTTATTTATATATCATATTTGAATTTTCTAATAATTATAGTTTTTTTCATAAAAGAAAAGATTATTTAACATTGAGACCTTAATATTGGAGTAAAACCTTATCTTTCATCTCTTATTAAAATTGAAGCTCTTAATGATATTGGTATAAAGACTTAAATTCAAATAAATATAAATTATAAATAGAGAGATGATAATTATATTTTGCATTAGCATTATTTCAATAAAAACATATTCAGAAATAATGTTCATGAAACATAATATAATAAGTTAAATTTTAAACACTACCCAGAAAATGCATGAATATAAATATTAGATAAAAAGCAAATATTGAAGACAAATATTCAAAATTATAAAAATAATATAATTACACTATCAACACATAAAAGTAACATTTGTTACTTAGTATGCATGCTAGTAAAAAGCTTTTACTCTAATAGGATGAGAAACTAAATATATGTGTAATCTAATGGTTGGCGTTATATGAGCCCCATGAGGAAAAAAGTGTAAAGTGGCCATAGGGCGCATTTGTGGCTGTGTCACACTCACCATATAATTATATTTCAAAACTTGCTTTTAAAAAATGAATCTAATATTATGTTTATAATTAATGTTTCATCTTTGATCCATAACAGTTTGTTGTTAGGAACTATTGAGAATTTTTTCAACATATATTCTCTCTAATTTTAGTGTCCTCACAAATAAGTGATAAGTTTGTTCATGAATGTATTAATATTATATCTTAAATAATCTATTATTCTTTGGTGTACTATCTCGCCCAACAAAGCTAAGATCCCAACTAGTTCACCATCTTTTTGTTTTCATAGAAGAGTATATTTACCACTACTAACTATGACAAGAATCAAATTTAAACTTCTACTCATATATCAGAAATTTGTTGATGAAAAATTCAGGACTTGTACTTGTGTGGTTTTTGTTTGCAAAATTTAGGTTTGAGGAATTCTGTTATGTAAGCTTACATCCATTGGGTATCTTAGCACGCACTCATGCAACCACGTCGACGATTTTAAGTCTTGCTCTCAACTATCAAGCAAGAGAAAACGAAGGAAGATCACCTCCTTGTTGCTTGTTCATCTGAAAATGTATGAAAGAAAACGACTGAAAGCTTAAACCTTTCTTAACGAGTGCGTTTACCAATACTTGGCGATGAAGGCCCTGGAAAATCTGCGGGCAATCCTCTCGGCCTTTCTTCTTCCGATCACCTGGAAATGAACAAGACGAGCGTTTGTACTAGATTTTAAGTGGCTTCTCACCTCGCAAAGTTTTTCTTTACTTAGGCCTCGCACAGCCTCCTCGGAGAGCTTGCTGGTGTTCTTCTCCCAAAAATCCTATTAGCAAGTCCAAGGATGAAAGAGGAGCTCTTACCTTATACAGAGCTTCCGCTATGATCTCACCAAAGGTTTCAATGACTGAAATATCCACTGGGGCCACTGGGGGCTTGAAGCTTTCGACTGGAAGTTTGTGATCCTTGCTCCCCCGAGCTCGAATCCTCAAAAAGAGCTTCTTCGCCAACACAATTCCTAGAAGTATGAGCCCCCATGTACAGACATACGGCAACAATACAGGCTCATCTTCACGTACAACGATCGTTTCCACCTGGAAACAGAAAAAACAAAAAGAATAGATCTCCCGGTTAAGTTTCGGTATAGTGAAACTCATACCTCTTTTCCTGGAGAGATTTCTTCTACCTGGAGAGCCCGGTAGTAAGTTCAGTGATCCTCTCGAAAAGCTAAGCTCAAGTACCTTTGTCTCCTCAAAAGAAAAATCTTCCACCTGGAGCAAAAGAAAACGTAAGTTGCGCATTGATCCTGAGAAACAGGGCTCCATACCTCGTCCACAAGGAAGAATTCATCCACCTGAATATAAGAAACTCTGGATCGTGACACTCAGGATTAAGATAGATACACGCACCTCTTCGTCTTGGTTTGCCACTCCTCCAAGCACAATCTCGGCAATAATCTCCTCTTCCTGGAATGCAATGCAAGAGTAAAACTTCCAAAGGAGAAAAGATTCGGGAGAGATACCTCTAGGCGATGATCATCGCCCACGAAAGCCGCTTGAATCTTTTCTTGCGTGAGACCATTCCGATCAGCTTGACAGATCTTTGAGGAGAAGAGAAGAACGATCCATAGCAAAACCATCCGTAGCAAAACCATCCCTTCCTGGAGCCCTCACATTCTTTTGCTGTTAAAAGATTTTGAGCCAGCGACCTTTGCAAGAAAAAACAATGGTATATGCAGGTTTCGAACCTGCGACCTTGGCGTTATTAGCACCACGCTCTGACCAACTGAGCTAATAGGCCTTATTCTATATAATTAATTTAAAAGACTATAAAACATTATAGCACGAGCCCTAGTCATTTGAATCAAGGGTTTTTGGGCGGGCATTTCCAATGGGTCCTCCACCTCCCGATCCTGGCCGGCAGCAACGGCAAGAAGAGGGCAACGATAGCGAGGGAGACAATGGCGAGCCAGCGGCGCCGCCCGAGCCGGTGGTGCCAGTGCGCAATGAGGATCTCCAGATGATCGCCAGGCTCTTTCCATCTCCCGTTCTCGGTCCTGTCGCTCCTCCGCCTAGTCCCGCTACTCCGCATGCCGCATTTACCAGGTCTAACAGCGATTCTAGGTTGATTGCTTCGAGTCCCAGCGATTCCGCCATAGCCGAGGTTCCAACGTTCCGCAGGTCTGATCCCAGGAGCACTTCCAGCGACGCAGTTTGCTATCGCGGGAAGGAGCCGATGGAGGGTCCGAGCAGCTCCAGCGCCGTAATATCAACTCAGGGCGGAGATCCGGGCTCGTCCAGTGCCACGCCTTGGATTTCAGGGGATCCGGGCTCATCCAGCGCGATCGCGGAGGATCCAAGCTCATCCAGCGCCATAATATCGGATCCGAGCTCGTCCAGTGTCACGGCAAGCTTTGGTCTTCCAGGTCCGAGCTCATCGAGCGCCGGAACCGCGATTTCAGAGAATCCGAGCTCATCCAGCGCCATAATGTCGTCTCCAGGCATGGATCCGAGCTCGTCCGTTGCCACAGCACCAGGTCCGAGCTCATCGACCGCGATTCCAAAGGATCCAAGCTCATCCAGCGCGTCTCCAGGCAAGGATCCGATTGCCGCAAGCTCTGGTCTTCCAGGTCCGAGCTCATCGATCGCCTCAGTCTCGATTCCGAAGGTCCCAGTCTCGGAGATCACCGGCCCGGGTGGATTGCTCCATGGTCCGTCGCGTCTGTCACGCGCTGGCCCGACCCCGATCGCGAGCGCCGACGACAAAGGCAAGGGGATACTGATCGAGGAAAGCGAGTCCACCGGCAGCGGCAAATCATCCACCGGGTCAGTTGTTACTGTCATTGGCAACATTGGCAGTTTTTTCTCTCCTCCTCCAAGCTCTCCAGGAGCGCCACCCGCGGCGCCACCGCCACACCCCCATCAGCGCTGGTACCAGAAGTGCTGTAGGTGCTCCCGCTGCTGCCAGAGCGGCTGTAGCATCCTCTAGATCCTTTCTTCCTTTCGTTCGTCGGGTCTTTCGTTTTGGCGGTGTCTTCTCCGTCCTTGCTCTCTCGTTCCCTCGATTGGTTGTTCGCAAATTCTTCTATCGATTGATCGCTGCTTATGGCTGCTACGGTAAGCTTTGAAGCATTTCTCTCTTTAATTGTGTTTTGACATCCTTGGACAGCTCTTTGATCTTCGCCACCATTTTTGTTTCTACCTTCTGTTTTTCCGTTTTCGAGAGTACGTTGCTAGCTTCTTTCGACCAAATGGAGAAGTTTATGGTAGTTGCGATGGGACGGCGTCTTCTGGTAAGCTCTTGGGATGTTTTAAAGTCGCCTGTCGATTTACAGTTTTGTTTTCGCTCTTCTTTCTTCTTTTTGTTGTTCTTGCGAGATCAGTCACTCGGACCTCTAAACAACGAACCAACAGAGAGAGAAGTAGTGTTCCAGCGTGCGTACAACTCGAGCTCCACAAAACGAACCTCCAGATCGAGAGTACTGTTCCAGCGAAAGCAAATGGCGTGTAAGTAACCATATAATAAACACATTTTCGTTTCAAACCTTTACAGAAGCAAACCGGACTGCTCAGTCGTCCAAGTAATAGTAAGATCCGGCAGCCTTTTGCTCGCGATCTTTGGTGGAGTCGAGCTTGTTGATCCGCGGCCTAAAGTTCGTGGGATCACGCCGGAAGGTGATGTCCAGGTGCTGCGCGAAGCGAAAAAGTGGAATCAAATCAGCCATGAACGCCTGGAGAAGGAGAGAGAACACGCTACTCACCGAGAGGAACAGGTTCATCCCCGTGAGGAGACTCTGGGGCGAGTTGGCAACGCACTCCACCGACGGTTTTCCTTCGTAGACGATGACCCTGTCCGCCAAGTACGTTGCCATGATCAAGTCGTGCTCCACCACGAAGGCCGTCTTCTTGGCGTGGAGGATGAAGCGCTTGATCACCTTGCACGCCACGAGTCGCTGCTCGGAGTCCAAGTGAGCGCTGGGCTCGTCGATCAGATAGATGTCCGCGGGCTGCCAAGGCAAATGGTTAGATATGCTACGAGGATAAGTTCAAGGAAAAGCGCTACTACCTTTCCAAGGCAAAGGCAAATAGCAACGCGCTGGCGCTCTCCACCCGATAAGTTGGCAACTTCCCGGTCCATGAGTGCCTCAATCTGGAGAGGCTTCATCACGTCCGTGTTGAATTGAGGATGAAAGCACGAGTCCCGGATCCTGGTGTGCAGCAAATGCCGGACCGTGGACTGGGACTTGGAGTTGACGTGTTGTGGCTTGTATGAGACGTTGAACTCGGGAATTTCTTCCGAGTCACGAGAGTCGTCGTCGGATTTTAGCAGCCCAGCCTGAGATTATAGAAAAGCTTTGCATGTCACGAGAAAATAGTTCTGGAAACTTACCAGCATTCTTATGAAAGTGGTCTTTCCAGTGCCATTCTCGCCGAGCATCACAATGATCTGCGAGTCTGTAAAGTCCCCCTCCTTGACTTGAAGCTTGAAACTTCCTTGAGTCCTCGACATGGCAGGATACTTATACCGAGTGTACGCCTGGACTTCCTCGGGGCTCTCTTGAGCGCTCTCAGCAACCTTGCATTGACATAATCCCCGTTTTAATTGCAACTTAGCGAAAACAATTCTTACCTTGAACGTGAGGGACACTTCACGGAACCGCACGTTTTCCGTATGAATGTATCCAGCGAGGAATATGTTTATGCCTTCCCTCACAGAGAAAGGGAGCGTCACAACGCCATACGCGCCGGGATTTCCATAGAGGCAGCAAACATAGTCCGATAGATAGTCGAGAACACTCAGATCATGCTCCACGACAATCACATAGCTGCATTGCAACCTCAGAGTAAGTCGAGGGGAACGAGGGAAACCAAGAAGGAAAAGAGTCGAAAAAAACATGTACCTGTTTGGTGTGAGAAGGGACCGAATGACTTGAGCAGCCTTGAGCCGCTGCCGAACATCCAGAAAGCTGGATGGCTCATCAAACATGTAGACGTCTGCCTTTTGCACGGCCACCTCGGCTATAGCAAAGCGTTGGAGCTCTCCACCAGACAAATCATCCAGATTTCGGTCCAAGACATCGATCAAATCAAGATCATGGCAGACATCCTCCATCACGCCTCTTTCATCCTTCCGCGAGAGAGCTTCACCGACGGTGCCTTTAATTACCTTCGGAACGTCGGAAACGTTCTGCGTTTTCGTGGCCACCTGAGGCAACAGGCTTCGTTAAGAAATGACTTGAAACCAAGTCCTGTTCCCATACCTTCAAATTATCTTCCAGATATCGCATGAAGTAGTTCTGGAGCTCCGATCCTCTGAAGTATGTCAAGATCTCTTGCCAGTCCGGTGGATCCTACAACGTAACACTGTCATAGGAACAAAACAAATACCGCAAAAGCCAGTACCGCAAAGTTCCCCAAGTTGGGCTTGAGGAACCCGTGAAGAACTTTCAAGGCGGTTGTCTTTCCAATTCCATTCGTCCCAACGAGACCCAAGACCTGGCCCGGCTTTGGAACAGGCAGCCTGTTTACGAGAACACTAGTACTACGCATCTAGAAAACCAAGCAAACCTGTGTAGCTTGAAAGTGTTCGCTCCATACCGATGCGTGGTTTCTTTGTCCAACTCCTTAGGCAGCTTGATGATATCTATCGCTCCAAATGGACATTTCTGCCACACAAACCACAGATCGAAACAAGACGGGAAGGGGGAATCGAAGTGGCCGACCTTCACGCAAATCCCACATCCAATGCAGAGCTCCTCCGAAATGGACGAGATCTTGGATGCCGGAGAGACCTCGATGCACAGCTTCCCTGGAAATTCGAATCTCAGATCGCATACCTTTCAAGAGATGAGAACAAAATTTGCCTGTTTTCACCACTGGGCAGCTCTTCTTGCATTCCTGATGGCACTTCTTGGGCTTGCAACGATCAGAGTTGACCACGGCGATCCTCATCGCTCTCCTCCCGCCTTCTCGGCGACTTAATAAACCCTATTTTGTATACTCATAAAGGAAATCTCCTTTACTTTTTTCTAGCTAAACTCTTTGCTCAAAAAGTGCGGGTAAAATCTATCCAAAATCCCTGGAGCGTGGAGACAAGTAGCATTAATTATAGTCATTCTCTGGCAATATAATGTGGCTGCGCTTGTGATCGTTTCTATCCAAGAATGTGTATCACCAAGGAGTGCGCCGATCCCACTGAGGCTGGAGTTTACTGGAGGGAGGACGATTGCTGGGTACGATACAGCGCAAGCACCGAGCATGCCATTCGTGACGCTCACAAGAACAAGGTCTGCTATGTCATTGCGTTCTAGCAATAGGTTTCCAGTTTTGTTGTTTGATAGATCTCCAAGGGACGAGCATCGAATGTTTCTCTGGGAAGGATCACCTCAGCGAAGTATCCCAATGGACTTGACTACCAGATCGATCTGGAGCGCATGGAGCAAGTTAACTTGCGGAGTGGCTATCGACGGGAGATCAAGATCATCGGAAAAGTAAAAGTTGGAACTCTTTTGTTCTTTCGCAAGCTCCAGTTTCCTGCTTTTTCTCCAGGATCCCGAGGACCAAGCAATCGAGCACGCAGTCGAGGACCTTCTCCAGCTCATGAACAAGGAGAGTTTCCTCAAGAAGGTGGTCACGGAAAAGCATCCAGAGATAAGAAACGTTCGACTCAACACGTTTCTGGCCGATAAGCCCGATATGTACCGCCAGTTCGTCCAAGCTCTCAAGGAAACCGCCAAGACCAACAAAGAGCTCATCAGTTAAGTTGTCAATGATCATACATTCTTCGAACTTAGAACTTACATGTGGTCGCAGTGGAGATGTTCTGCGCTGTCAAGCAAGGAGACTCTTCGGAGCTCAAGTCTCTCGAGTACGTCTTTCACGGGACTCCATCCGAGAACTTGGAATCCATCAAGAAGAATGGATTGGATGCCAAGCTGTGTGGAGACACCAGGAAGTTTTGGGTCGGGAAAGATCCGTACGTGAGCCTGCAGTACTGCAAGACGAGAGCCCGTCAAGCTACAATGGCGCTCTTCCTGGAGCTCCGAGGACATGGAGAGACCGAGTGGAACACCGCAAAGCAGCGCAGCATTCCAAACACAAAGTCGAGCGTCCTGCTGCCGGTGGCGGAGATCGATCTGCCTGTAGAAAATCACTATGACGACGATGACGACGACTACGACGACGACGACGACAACTAAAGCTTTTCTCTTTTCTGTATCTTCTCTTTCATGGTAAAACATTACATACCACATTTGACGTTTCTGTCATCCTTTTGTTCGTGTCTAAAAGAAAAAAAATATTAGAAACACAAGAAAGCTCAAATGAAAACCTGGGATGAATGTTGCAAAGAGAACCAACTACGCGGAAAGCCGCTCTTTCATGTACAAATCTATGTACGCGTGGGCCTTCATTAGCTCTTTACACTTTGGCGCTCCTGAGAGGATCAAAAGGGTGGTGTCTTTTTGTTGCTGGTCATCAATAATTTGTTTGGTCCCAGGACATTTCCAGATGTTAGTGCTGTAAACAGGAACTACGGAGGACGGGACATTGCTGGTAAGTTTGTTCTTCTTGAGTAATCGTTATCTTTATGATATCCGTGGCAGCATGCTTCAAAGATGACATTTTCTCCACAGGCTAAAATGAGAGATCAGTACAATGTTTTATTTTTTCCCACGGAATCTTCTTTGTAGTAACTTGTGAAAGCTGTGCACGCTGCAAGGACCTTCATAATGCTTCTTGGGCATACTCAAGATATGAGGGAAAAGGAAATGCAAACTTACCGGAAATTTATACGTGATGATCGAATTGTTTTCCCCTTCTTTCAAGCCTACAACCTTGGAGCTAAATACTTTACACCAAATTTTTAATCGATTCCTGAAAGCTTATGGAGGCCATGGTTCCTCTAAAAGAAAGGGGTGCGTGTGTGTGCCAGCATTCATTTGGAAGTATCCCAATTCTGTGCAAGTTTAATAGGACCAGCCCATAGTGTCTTTAGCATCGATATCGTTTACTTCAGCCTGTTTATTCAGTTTATATACATCGTAGGAATCTATTCCCCATCTGCCTGCATATGCCACCTGGAAAAATACAGTCGTCACTTGTATACATGAGAGAAGAGCAAAATTACCAGGAGATCGCTTTTGTTATGAATATCTGGACAAAGCAACTTAATGCCACCATATTGCACCTAATAAAATGAATATGGGACAAGATGTTAAGTACAATCTAGGATCGAATGAAGCTCTTTTCTCACATAAGGAGCTGCAACGTCTGCTACAAGAGAAAGGAAGTCAACGTCATTGAGCTGTAAAACGAGAGAACAGAAGCAATCGATACCTTTTTTTTTTCAAGAAACAGAGATTTAACTGTTATTACATTTGTTGCTACCTTCTTCGGCCATCCGTGTGATCTCCTGTAATGCTTTCTTGCATTCAGGACCAACAGAAATTCCCACCTACTTAAAAAAATAATCATAAATATCTTTAGAGATCCACAGCATCTAAAGTCTTGGGAGAGGTTCTAGTGCTTATACGGTTGGGTGGTGAACATCATACACTAACAGAGTGCCTATGGGGCAACAAGATAAAACTTCAGTGTGATTTTACATACTTGTTCATCGTAAGCACTATATTCCAGCACAGCTTTGATGACACCTGAGCTTGCCCAGCTTGCAACGACCAAGTCCGGAAATTTAAGTCCAAACCACGCAGTCAAGGCACCTGCGTATGAAGCTCCCACAGCAATCCATGGATTCTTGCCTTGCTTGCTTTATCGTCAAGTTCTGTGCTAAAATCACGGGAAAGCACGCTCTAGATATTTATCTACTTGATAAAGAGAGCATAATCAAACAAAGCCTGCTGTGTTGTGAGATACTTGAGGTTCTCGCAAGTGAAATTTTGAAAGGGATAGCTCTCTCCACGATGCTCAAACGATTGCCGCTGTTTGCATAACAATCGATTAAAAAGGATGCTAAATCCTATAATGAGAGATGCGACATAAGCTTGAAAATGGCTAGAGGGCGAGAAATATCGGGCTGAAAGTAATCCAGGAGATCGAAGTATCTTTGAGAGAACACTCTCGGATCCTAGATCAACTATATAACACTAGATAAGAAATGCAGGACGTACTTCTGGATCATAATGGTTGACTCTGGAAAAAATAACTAATATGGTTTGCGTTTGTACATGCAGCGGAAGAGAAATGTTGCCGGTGGATTGAACTTCTCCAACCCAAAGCATAGCAAGTAGCTGCTGCAGTAGCCAGGAGGAAGAACAATGTTTCATAGAGAATCTTTCACATTACTTGATGAAAGGAGCTTCGTCCAAGCTATACTCCTGTTTCTTTTGATTGGCTAACGACCTTGGGAAATTTCGGACTCTAGCGTCGTTCTTTTGACTTCCCAGCTCGAAAGTTCACCAGAATTCACCATCGAGCTGTAAAAGAGAAAACGAGAGGTGACTCTCTTGGCTGTTGTTGAGAAACCGAGCTACCTCACGAGGTTTAGTTTGTTAAAAATTAAGAACGACGACTAGAAGTTAGCTTACCAAGCCTTGAACGCTCCACTGAAAGTTCCGAGTCGGCGCCTCGGATGGGCGCGCTACGATCATAACACGCGAATTCCAAAGCCTAAAGTCCTTAGCATAAATTTGCTATTCCATTCATTTGATAGATCTCTACTCTATCCCTGTGGACATGACTACAAAACAGATCATGGAGCAAGGTAACTTGCAGAGTGTGGATGTTCTTTAGGATCCGAGCAGGAGGAACAGGAGGAACTTCTCCAGCTCATGAACCAGGAGTGTTTCCTCAAGAAGTTGGTCACGGACAAGCATCTGAGAACGTTCGACTCAACGAGTTTCTCAAACCGGTAAAATAACTCCTTGCGAATCATACATTTCCTCTTCTAACTTAAAACTGGACACTCGTTGGAGATCAAATACATACTTTCACCAGGACTCCATCGGAAACTTGGGCGTCGTCAAGGTGTGTGGAGACGCCAGGGGAGCCGTCACGCTACAATGGCGTTCTTCTTGGAGATCCGAGGACAAGGCGAGAGAGAGGGGAACTCCACAAAGCAGCGAAGCAAGAGCGTCTTGCTGCCGGTGGATCTGCCTGTCGAAATTCATCATGACGACAACGACTAAAACCAAAGCCTTCTTCTTTTCTGTTTCTCTTTTCTTCCATGCTAAAATCTTACGTACCACAAGAAGAACTTCGAAAGCTCAAAGCAGAAATTACGAAAGTTTGCCATGAATCGTGTTTGCCCTCGCGAAGAGAACGCCATTAACTACGAGGAAAACCACTCCTTCATGTACAAAGATATGTAGGTGTGGGCCTTCATTAGCTCCTGGCACCTGGGTGATCCTGAGAAAATCAAAGTTAAACGCAAGGGTGGTCATGTATCAAAGCATTACCAATGTCTGAACTACAATCCATAGAAAGGTCCTCGCAGTGTGCACAGCTTTCACAAGTTAATACAAAGGAGGGTTCTATGGGAAAAATAAATCATTGTAAATCTCCTAAGCATAAAAGCGCTGCCCTATCGTTTTACCTCCTGGAGAAAATGTCGTCTTCGATGCATGCTGCCACGGATCCTGTGAGCCATTCAGAAAGATAATTCTAGAACCTGTTATTCAAGATTAGAACAGAGCAAGGCAGCATGAAGAAGAAAATATTTTACTAGCAATGTCCCGCCCTCCATAGTTCCAGTTTGCGGCACTAACATCTGGAAATGTGTTGGGACCAAACAATACAGCACAAATGTCGATGTAATATCTAACACGTAGCAACATGAAGTCACACTCAAGCTGAGAGGGAAAAGGGAAAACAAACTTACTGGAGATTTATACGTGATGATCGAATGCTGTCGTTGGTAGGGGCAACTTGGAAGTAAGCTAATTCTGTGCAAATTTGGTAATTCCAGCTCATAGTGTCTTTAGCGCTGATATCGTTTGCTTCAGCTTGTCTTCTCAGTTCATATGCATCGTAAGAGTCACTGGAGGAGCTATCTACTCCACCAATACGTGCATATGCCATCTGGAAAAACAATGAAGTCGTGACTTGTATAGAACTCATGAAAGAGGAGCAAATTACCAGGAGATCGGTTTTGTTCTGAATGGCTTCCAAAAGTGGAGGACAGAGCATATCAATAGCACCATATTGCACCTAACAAAAAATAAAACGGAAAAAATATAAAGCTCGTTAAATGAAAACTATGTTATTCTCAAGCTTTCTACTCACAAAACCAGCGGCAATGTCTGCTACCAATGACAGGAAATCATCATCTCTGAGCTGTGCGAAGTTCGCAAGTCTTAAGCCTTTGAGAGAAACGATTTAGAAAGGATGAAATACCTTTTGTGCAAAAAACACAGATTTAACTGCTGTTGCGTTTGTTACTAGACCTTCTTCAGCCAGCTTTGTGATCTCCTGTAATGCCTTCTTGCATTCAGGACCAACAGAAATTCCCACCTACATACAAAGAAGGATAAATACAGGAAATCTCAAAGTAAATTTACGTACTTGTTCGTCGTAAGCACTATATTCCAGCACAGCTTCGACCACACCTGAGCTTGCCCAGCTTGCAACGACCAAATGCGGAAATTTCAGTCTAAACCAAGCACTCAGGGCACCTGCGTATGAACCTCCCACAACAATCCATGGATTCTTGCCTTGCTTGTTATATTGTAGATTAACCAAGTTCTGTACCAAAGAACGTTAAGATCACGAGAAAACACGTTCGAGATATTTATCTACCTCATAATAGTCGATAAAGAGAGCATAATCATATAAAGCTTGCTGTGTTGTGAGATACTTGAGGTTCTTGTAAGAGAAGTTTTGAAAGGGATAGCTTTGTCCGTAATACCGATGCTCAATTGTCACGACTACCGCTCCTAGTGACTTAGCTAGAGCCTGCTTGCATCAAATTGGATAAAAGGATGAAACGTTATGATGTGAGACGCTTACTCCTACAGCTGTTCTTTGATATCCGCCGCCGCATGTGGATTCTCCACAGAGGGCGAGAAATATTGGGCCTTGTTGGGGCTGAAAGTAATCCAGGAACTCGAAGTATCTTTGAGAGAAGACTCTCGAATCCTGGATCAATCAAACGCTATAACCACCAGATAAAAAATGCAAGGTCCTACTTCTGGATCAAAATGGTTAACTCTTTGCTTCTGGAACAACTGGCTCGTGTTGTTTAAGTTTGCAGATGCAGCAGAAAATAGACGCTGTTGGTGGATTGAAGTTCTTCAACCCAAAGCAGAGCATGTAGTTGCTGCAGTAGCCAGGAGAAAGAACACGCATGTCAGCATTGGGAAAAATGCCATGATCAAACGAACCTCGATTTGCTGATATTTGAAGCAAGCTGCCGGGATGCTGACAATTCCGAAACTGTTATTCATGTCAATGATGGAAGCATAGGAGGCAACAGATTTTGTTGTTTTCTTTTAGGAATAGAACACAAACGGCTGTCTCATATGTTTTACAGCGAATCTTTTCTATTATTTGACGAATGGAGCTCCGTCCAAGCAACACTCTTGTTTCTTTTGATTGACTATCCACTGTGAGAGAATGTTGATCTAATGTTAAAAAATGATGAATGATAGGGACCTTACCTGAGAAATATTCGGAGTCTAGTGTCGTCCTGAAGTTCCAAAGTCACCAGTAATTGCCATCGATCTGTAAAAGAAAAAAAAAAGAGCAAGCTGGAAGAGGTGACTACTTGAGAGAAAGTAAAAATCTTATCAAGTTTTAGTTTGTTTCCTGCGAGCGCAAGACCAAAAATAATAGGATCCATGCATTATAATTTTATCACTAGCTCGTGCGAAGCGCCGCCTCTGGATCGGAAATCTGCCTCAAATGCTTGGTAAGTTTGATCTGAAACAATCGACGAACCTATGCACCGGATGTAAGCCGAAAGAGGGAAGCGCACCGCCATTCCCCTAAACCCTAGCAATTTGAATGGGGGCGGGAATATTTATCTAATCATCATATTAATTGAAACCAAAGCATCATTTTGTACTACGAGGAAAGCCACTCCTTCATGTACAAAGATATAAATGCGTGGGCCTAGATCTGAGAATCGAATCCAATGTTAAAAACAGGGTATACAAAAATTATTACTACAGAAGTTATACCAGTTTCTATGGTACATTCTGGCCAAAGGTCTTGGCAGTGTGCGCAGTTCTTACACGTTAATATAAAGAAAGGCTCTGTGAATTCATCTTTGTTTAAAGTCTTCGAAGCAAAACAATAAGTTACCATAAGGAGAGAAAGTTTGTTTTGACACGCCGTGGATCCTGTGAGCCATTCAGGAAGATAATTCTAGAGCATGCTTGTTAAAGACCAGGATCAAGCCAGCAAAAGAAAGAACGAATTAATTACCAGCAATATCCCATCCTCCATAGTTCTCGTTTGAAGCTTTGACTCTGGGAATGTCTCGTGGCCAAAAAATTCCAGTAGTCGATGAATTACCTGTTAATTGTAAGAAAAACATCTAAGGCACATACTTTGAAAGAGTGAAACACGAACAAACTTACTAAGGTTTAGCCGAATGCCGTCGTTGGCCGGAGAAACGTGGAAGGCGGCCAATTCTGTGCAAACTTGGTACGCATAGCTCATAGAGTTTATAGCACCGATATCGTTTGCTTCAGCTCGCCTTTTCAGCTCATTTGCATCGTAAAGTTCAACGGAAGAACGATTCAGGCTCAGAAGATTGGCAAACGCCCTCTAAAAAAAAAGCAAAAAATTTGACCTTTATGAAAGAAAAGTTACCAGAAGGTCTGTTTTGTTCTGAACAGCTTCCAGAAGTGCAGCACAAAGGTTATCAAATCTACCATATTGCACCTAGCATAAACAAAATGCTTGTCAACCTTTGTATAAATATTCTCACGATGTTTACTTACAAAACCAGCTCCAATGTCTGCTATCAGCAATAGAAGTCATCACCTTTAAGCTGTCAAATGTAGTGTTCACAAGTAAAAACGAAGGAACTCCAAAGACAATACCTTTTCCGCAGAGAACATGGATTTAACGGCTGCTGAATTTGCTACCAGGCCTTCTTCGGCCAGCTTTGTAATCTCCTGTAATTCTTTCTTGCATTCGGGACCAGCAGAAACTCCAATCTACAAGAGAAACAAAGAAACATGAGCGAGCTTTGGCGTGAGTAAACATACTTGCTCGTCATAATCACTGTATTCCAAGATTGTTTGGACCACGGCTGAGCTTCCCAGCTTGCAGCAACCAAGTGCGGGAATTTCAGTACTACGCACTCAAGGCACCTCCCACAACAATCCATGGATTCTTGTCTTGCTTGTTATATCGTTGAATAATCAAGTTCTGTATAAGAAAACGGAAATCACACGGTAAGATCATCATCCACTTAATGCCTGATAGTTGGAATAAAGCTTGCTGCGTCGTGAGAAACTTAAGATTCTCATAAGTGAAGTTTTGAAAGGGAGAACAGTCTCCGTAATACTGATGCTCGACAGTCACGATTGCCCCTTCCAATGATTTCGCAAGAGATTTCTAATCAAACACAGATGACAAGAAAGATTGGGCCTTGCCGAGGCTGAAAGTAGGAGCTCATAGTATTTCTGAGAAAATACTCTCGAATCCTGGATACATCAAGTGTATTACGACAAAAAAATCGGGTTGTATAAATAAGCCCACCTCTTGGAACTTTTTGATGCAGGAAGAATGAAATCGTCTCGTTCGTGTTAGTAGATCACCGGAGGAGAACTGGTGTTCGTGAAGTGAATTTCTACATGTGTAAAAGGTTATTATTAGTAAAATATCTCCATCGCTGCAGCAGCCAAGAAAAAGAAGAAACATGTCAAAACTGGAAAACTGGCCATGATCTCACGTCAAAGAATCTACTGATATTTGAAGCAAACTTACCGGAAGGACTGCTTTGGAGAAGTTTCCAGTCAATGCTGGAAACATAAGAGACAACCATTGTTCTATTCTTGAGGAATAGAAGATGAACGGCTGTCTCATATGGTTCATACCGAATCTTTTTCTAGAAGTTGCAATAAACCTTTCGTTGTATACTATGTTTAGGATCTCATCCGCGAGTTACAAAAAAGAACAAGAAAGAAAGAGCTATGACACCATAAGTAATCTACAAAATAATAAAGGTCGAGCTCGAACATTACTAAGCATACCTGGTAGCTTCTCTTTCGTGAGTAGATCCAAAATCAAGCCAAAGTAACAGCAGAGAGAGCAAAGCGTAAGCAGCGAACTAGTATTGCTTCGAGCTCCGATCACCGTTAATTGAACCAAGAGTACGAGATAGAGCAAGTTCTAACTCGAACTTAAAGAGATCAACTTCTCCGTGAAGACGAGTAATCCATGAGCATAGACTCATGCCGCCGGAGACACGACGAAGTCTGCCTCGTACTGAAACGTCAGCATTTGCTTGATCCACTCGGCTTCCCGCACCTTTAAGGGGATCCCGCCTGGTTACGAGTATGTTCTTGAGCAGGCCCCTCGACAGGTAACCGAAGTTGCCATCAAGGCCATAGCATGTCAGCTGGAGATCACTCTTATCCTCCTCCTGATCCCACAGAAGCCAAGACTTTGCGTCCGCAACTGCTTGCTCCTTGCATTGACATACACGGTAACCACAGGAAGAACTTTCCACTTGGTGAGCTCGGATGAGACACCGCCCCTTGTCTTCAGGGACACAACGCAGCAAGTCATCCCCTCGGGAGTCCAGACAGGAAGAATGAGATCGGCACCACGCATATCGTTTTCCGCTTGATACCCGATAGCAAGGCCTCCTGGAAAGTATCTGCTTAACGCTGCAGTCTCCGGGACTTCCCGCACGGCAAAAGAATTGCAGAACAGGGGACCACCACTTTGATGGGATGAAGGTACCAGCTAAGCATACCGCTTCACTTCTTGAACTTGAGCAGGCTAGTAGCTGGGCGTCGCTGGAAGAGCGACAAACAACCTGTTTTCCATCGTAACATTCATATGTGACGCTACCATCGGGCAGCGAGGACACACCTGCAGGCCTGTTGCAGCAGCAAACAATACCATCCTTGGTTCTCTGTCTGGCGAACTCATTACTAATTCCCATTTCACCCTATCCTATTCTGGCGGCCCACACAGGCCTTCCATACTTCATCCAGGTTGACGAAGAACTATACTCCGCAACGCTCAACTTGAGCATGTTTAGTTGCAAAGTTCGCAAGAAGTAGATCGGAGGCAGTAAGCATCTCCCGGTCTTCAAGGCCCTGCTGCTGTTGTCCTCGTCACTCTTTCTTGGCAAAAACTTCCCGGTTGTGTCCAGCATGAGCACAAAGTAGGCATTCCACGGAAACAAAACTCTGAGCGCCCAGCGGAGCTGAGGTTTCGTTCAGACCCCTTGCCTCGTCAAACACGAAAACGGCTCGCCTGTCCTCGCCGCACTTTCTCGGCGAGCTGCTGTTGTCCTCGTTGCTCTTTCTCGGCAAAAGCTTCGCGGTTGAGTCCAGCGCAAAGCTGGCATTCCACGGAAACAAACCTCGAGCGGGTTTCGTTCAAACCCCTTGCCTCGTCAAACACGAAAACGACTCGAGGATTACAGCACGGAACTCTGGTCGTGAATGCGCTGCTGGTGATCACCATCCAAGAGCTGTTGCACCTGCTCCAATGTTTTTCCATGATTTCACGCTTATCCTCCTTTGATGAACGTGAGTTCTTCCCATTTCTCGCTCACTGCTCTGGCGATGCCAGAATCGCTGCCAGGCAACTGCTTATCCTTCCACTCCACAGCCGAAGTTCCTTTCTCCAATTCATGGAGCCAGGCATTCACAAGTAGAACACCATCTCTAGCTCGGTGAAGCTTTGTGTGCCAGGAGTTCAGTCTTAAGTCCTTGGCAGATGAGGGGTCCTTGCCAGGCTGGTGTACACATCTAGCCTGAACATCTCCATGACAGACCTCTGTTCATCTATCTAAAATAGATTTTTAGATTAATTATTTTTAATAAACTTTTTATAAAGTAATTTTTTTATATTAATAAATTTTTTATTGGTATTAACAATAAATAAGTATTTTTAATAATAAAGAATAAAGAAAATTAGGAATGCTTGGTTAACATTTTAGCCTTAGGCATAAACATAATTGTTTTGCTATGTTTTGTCTTTTTTTGTTTGTAAAATCAATAAAGATCTAAATAAAGTACTTTTTATTTTATAAATAATAAATTTAAAATTTAAATAGTTATAACTGATTATTATTTTATTAATTTGAAATCTAAATTCACACAATCTCTGAAAGGGATTATTTTTATTATTCTTTAGGCTTTTAAATGGGCTTAAAAGTTAAATTGAAATAAAATAATAGTTTTTATATTTTGGGTAGTGCATAATATAGCAAAAGAGCAGTGTGCAAAAAGTTTAGCAAAACACTTACCAAAATTTACTATTTTCTCAAATTTTTTCCATTCATTGATGTAATTTTTGTATGTTTTGAATTTTTATTAATAAACAAGGGTTACAAAAAATAGTTGACTTTCCTACATAGCAAGAGTTTCCACCCAATGCTCTCCCATATGTTTAGATTTTATTACATATAATTGTGTAAAAAAAAAATAAAACAAAGTTTTTTTTAGCTCACTTTTAATCCAAAAAATAAAAAATTATAGTTACATGGAAATCACCATTCTATTATATTTGAAATTGTTATAGTTTAAAATTATAACATAGTATACTTTATTAAATTCTTCTATTAAATTTTTTAAACTGACATTATAATACCAATCACAATTTTATTAAATTTTAATTTTCTTTTCAACTTTAAACTTTCCTAAAACATTCAAATTAGATATACCAACATAACGTATGCACAATTTTGTAATTTCTTTTACATGATTTATTTAACCAATCATACCAAAAATAAAATTAGATTTTAAAAGTTTTTAACAAATATTTTATGTCATTTAAAATTCTTCACCATTGTGATTATTACATCTATTTTTACATTTATTTTTAATTCTTCTCTTCACAAAATTAACTAATGATCTTTTTAAATGTACTGAAACCTGGCAACAAATATATAATTTCATATAAGAGTATTATATATTTACATATATGCAAATAATAAAACAACCTGAAATTCCAACTTTTCCATAAAGGTGAGTAATATAAACTTCATCTAAGTTACACTGTGAGAAATCCCGCTGGATAGTATGATCCATCCAAGTGTAAGGGGCCTTGAATAAGCTAGCTCTTAGTCACACTTAGAGAAATCACTTAATATCATTCCCCAACGAAGCGCGCGCCATTGACGCCATAGCCGTAAAGAGCCCTAGTCATTTGAATCAAGGGTTTTTCTTTTTGGGCGGGCAATTTCAATGGGGAACAAGCCTTCCAAGCCGAGAGAGTCCGAGCTGGTTCTTCACGACGATCTCGCAGCGAATCCAGCTGCCACGGCTGCGCCGAGCAATTCCAGGTCGATCGCGTCCAGCGCAAGGGCTTCCACCATCGCATCGGCCGCAAGATTCGGCGATGTCTTGCCAACGTCGATCCGCGGCGGCCCCAGCGCTTCCTCGGCGATCCCTGGCCACGGCGCAAGCTCTTCCTCCTCCACATCGATCCCGCGTTCTCTCGATCCAGGGCCTTCAAGCTCCGTAATATTCTTCCCACGCTCCAGCGGCGAGGATCCGAGCTCCAGCGCCACAGCACCCGGCGGAGGTAATCCGAGCAGCTCCAGCGCCGTAATATCGATGCCGAGCTCTGGCGAGGCCGAATCGAGCACTCGCGGCCGTCGCGGCGAGGGTCCGAGCACTTCCAGGGCCGAAATATCAAGCGTGGAGAATCCGAGCTCTCGCGCTCCGGAGAATCCGAGCTCTTCCGACAGTGCTGACGCGGCCCCGAACGCGAGCGATTCCGACACTGGCGACATTTCTACTGTCGAGGACGAATGGCGGCGCGCTCTCAAAGGCAAAGCCAAGGTGATCGATTCCACGCCAAGCAGCAGCAGTCTTTCATCCGCTGGAACCCTCCTCGTCGCCATTCCCGCATTCTCTTCTCCTCCAAATCTTCCGCCAGCGCCATCACCGCCATCACCGCGACCAAGTTGCTGCCGTAAGTGGTTCTGCGGCTGCAACATCCTCTAGATTCTTTCTCCTGCTCGCAAGCCTCGATCTTTTTGCAGCTCTTTTTCCATCGATTCATCAACGAGACGATCACTGGAAATAACCATCGCTCTTGTAAGTTTCATGACATTTAGTGTTCTTGGTTATCGGATAACTCTTTCTATTTGCCAGGAGATCTGTTGTGGTCTACCGTACACTTCTTGCCGTACTCGAGCTTGCGCGTTCGCCACGTAGTAGAGAATATCCTCGGGACAGAGTATCTAATGGAGGAGAGGAAATGGTAGCTGCGAGGGCAATGGCGGCAGGGCTCCCGGTCTGTTCTTCTTCAGGTAAGCTCTTTAGGATGTCATTCCAGCAGCTAGACCATAGACCCACTCGATCTCTCTTTTCCTTGCATGGTGGAGCAGCCTTTTCTCTTGGGACGAATGCTGCTACTGGCACCGCAATTTCCAGTCAGCTCTTCCGCTTGACAAAGATTTCCTGCCATCGCTTCCCGGCAATCCGTCCACTCCACTCTTGGATTTCGTCTCGGCCACCAAAACGCAAGGAAGAAAAGCTCGGTGGTATCTTTTGCTCGGCTGCGCACGCTGGCGGCGATCCTTCAAGCTCATCAAAGACCAGAGCCACTCGGCCGCCGAAAGATCCACAGTCGATCCGAGAGAGAGCTCTGGCTTTCGTGGACAATCAGGCCGGTTTCCTGTGGCTACTCGGTCCAGTGCTGGCAACCTCGGCAGTGGTGCTCCCGACGCTCTCACTCTCCCTGGTCGATCTCCTCCAGGCCAACTTCTGGATCGGGCTTGGCGCCGTCTTCGCCCTCGACTTGATCTACGTGCTCGCCGCCGACGCCTTCTTCGTCTTCGCGGACAAATGCGGCCACCAGCAGAGCGTCCCGGGTGAGCTCCCGCCGTGGATCGCCCCCTGGGAGATCCTCGGCTATCCCAAAGGCCTGCCTCAAGTCTGGGACTACACCACGTACGCGGGTATTGGAGTGGCAGCGTTTGCTCTGGTGATGTCCATCTTTTCGGGAAAGCCGGGCGTGGCTCTCGCGGCGTTTGGCCCCTACTTGGCGCTCATCCTCGTCCAGGCGGCGTACGAGCGGCTGCTTTGCAAGGAGAGGCTGCCAACTTATCCACTGGTGGCGGCGGTGTATACCATGTATCGGTTTCGGCAGCTGGGGCGGGCGATGGAGCTGCTTGGTGCGTTTGGAGCTGGGCCAGTGCTGGTGGGCAGCGTGAGAGTGTTGATGGCCATCTGGACCTTCTATCTCGCCACCTTTCTCTCGCAGTTGCCATGGCTGTATTGCACTTGGAACGCGAATAAAATCTCTTAGAATGTAAGAGAGCTTCTCTTTAGTGCTTTGAGAATGTGAGAATCCATACCTGGTGGTGGCTCCACCTTTGTTATTCGTTGCTACAGTGCCATGGTTTTACAGCATTCCAAGTTGGATGGAGCTTGCTCGCAAAATTTACTTTGAGGAAAGCTTGTGAGCTTCTTGTGGGATCGTGAGTTCCTCATAGTCATCGACCAGAGCCTGGACAAAACCACAAACAGTGACATTCTAACGAGAGCGGCTTGGAAAACCTTACCTTGAACTGTGAGCCTTGGAGGGTGTACGAGACAACCAGCTGCTTTGGCTGGCCCGGGCATGGATCACAAAAGCCCATCAATCCGGCCTTCTTTACGCCGGCGTGGAGCTACATGAAACATAGATCAAAACGACACAAGTTCCTCCATGTAGAGAAACTTTACCTTGAGCTGACCAGAGTCGTCGACAAGGAACTGCAGAGGTATGGTCACGTCAATCGTTGGAGGGGTGTCTTCTCCAGACACGTTTCCATCCCGGGCCTTGAGATCGCCGTAAATGGCTTTGGCAATGATCAAGCCTCCTGTCTCCTCCGCTTTCGCAACTTTACGATGAGCAACGTTTTTCAAGAGATCTTGAGCCTTTTCGGCGTTTGCCCGAGACTCTTGAACCTGTTAATCCTGGTCAGGGACACTGAAATTAACAGCCTTCTACAGACCTGTGTTACTGTCGACTTTCGCTGTTCCAGCTTCTTCGCTTCTGCTCTCTTTAAGAAATACGGCTTAAAGAGGTACTTCTGCGAGCACGAAAGACAAATAGATTACCAGAGGTTCGAGGTCTTCATAAATGTACCTTGAGAACAACATATAGAGTCGATGGTAAGAGAAGTGCACCAAGTGCCACTACCGGATCAAAACGCGCTGCAAGTAAAAGCTGCACAGGACGAGGAACCATATAACACAAGAAAGAAAGTACTCGTGAAACTGCTAACCGGCACGACGAACTTCTGGCCACCTCGAGTGAACCTGAATTTCCAAGACACTCCCTGCAGCACAAGCGCAGATTATTAGAAGGCCTATATAACAAAAAAACAGATAACAAGTACCTGAAGGCCTATCACGCAGAACATTCCAGCCGAGCTATGGTCAGAGATACTTCTCTCACCACCAATCTCGAGCTCAACACCAGTACTGCATAGATATTCTAGTTACCAAATGACTTTCACAGATGAGCATACCTCCCAAGTCGAGCGCTAACTTTCCCCTTGGACTTGCCAGACAGTTGCCTGGTGACTTGGCCACTGATTCCTGCAGCTGCTGGACCGGCTTTGATCTCAGAGCTTATCGAGTTTTTGGTTCCTTTGTGTTGCCAGCCCAGAACTAAACCCGCTTGATTCGGATCAGGACCAAGAAAGAGCAAAAGCTGAGCATTCAAATCTCAGTATAATGAAAAACAGAAAACCACAAACTCCTTACAGTTGCGGTCGTGTTTTCAGCGATCTGCCTCGTCCATGATTCACCCAGAGTTACGTGTCCACTCCGCAGCGAGTAAGAGAGGCTAAGCGTGCCCGATGAATGAGACGATATTTGCCTGATCTTTCCAAGTTTAAACATCAGAAAACCACAAGCAACAGAAAATACCTGGTGATCTGCCAGTTCAGAACCGACCGAAGTCCCAAAGTCGCCATGAACTCCAGAGACGTAGCCGGGCAATATTGGTGGCGAAGCACTCCAGTCATGGAGCCTCCTCCCATGTTTCTTCGAAGAAACATGTTGCCACCCGCAAGAACTGTGTCTTTCTTAGAGATCTGCGCTTGAATTTGCGTGGTCATTCCCATCCTGCGTAGCTGCTTCAAGTCAGAACACTCGAAAGAAAGAAGAAGAAACAAAGGTCGAAGAGAGTGAAACACCAAGCTTACGCAGTAAGCGCAGCCCCTTTGAGAAGAGACGATCGCATGGCCTCGACGAGCGAGAGATAGACGACCATCGATCCCGAGTGTAGAACGTGAGACGCGAGCTTCTGCTCCACCTTCCGTGCCTGGAGCTTCTCGTACTCGTTTCTTACCTCCTCCCTCGTCTTGAGCTTGGGACCAAGCTCCAGCCCGGATTTCAGCCCCTCCATGCCATAGATGTCGTAAACCTGCCGCTTCTTCTCGTCGCTGAGGATCTCATACGCCTCGCGAATGCGCTGGAAGTTCTGAGTCGCAATGTCTTGCATCTGGCAGAATATTTCCAGCGAGAATCGGTGGAGGAAAACGAAGAATGTAGTACCTGGAGTGTACGATGCTTGTCCGGATGATACACCTGCGCCCACTGCCGATACGCGCGCTTGATGTCCTCGTCGGAGGCATCGGGATCGAGATGCAAGAGCGCGTAGAGCTCGCGATCAGGCTGGTCCCCCTCCATTTCCAGAAGAAATGCCAAGAACCCTAATCGGTGTAGCTGACGTGGACGCTGGGTTTAAGAAAAAAGATAAATATCCGCCCTAAATTTGCCGCCTGGCCACAGCCGCAAGATCGGAATTGATCGGACGGCTGTGGTTGCTGTAGAGGATGGATATATTCAGGCTGTGGGGCTAGGGTTTCTTCAATGAGTCTAGGGTTTTAGTGTTTGCGTCTTGCTCGTGATGATCATTCTAAGGCTCCGTTCTCAAAACATTCGCAGTGGCCGCCCGAGAGTTCTCGCCTTGCCGGGCTTGAGGATTGATGCGGCTCAACCTTCCTTGGATGGCTGAAGCAAAAATTTCTTCTCCCTCTCCCTTTGTTTGCTGGGTGTTTTTCTTCCTTTCGTCTTGGCTATGATGAGATGTGTGCTCCCTCTACTGAGATTTGCAGTGAGGAACGAGTCTAGGCGTCGAACCCAAGAACTGCCGATGAGCCAAGAGCAGGAAAAATTTCTTTTTGCTTGTGTGGTTTATTCTCTGTTGGGCGATGACACTCTAAAATCGGATTCCCTCTGATCTCTCTGATGGAATTTTATATAATTGCAATGACCTGACAACAGAGATAACAGAGACTGGTGGTTCTTGTTTGATGGTGATGGAATAGCTCAAAAATTCTCTCTGAAACCGATGATTGGAAAAATCGCTGCGTTCTTTCTGAATCCTCAAGAACCATCTCTTTGAAAACCAGTCGGTGGCTGCCTCAAAAAGAAATGTAGATATTTTTTTTCTTATCTTCGCAAAGCTCGGATCTCGCAGTTCGAATCGAGCACAGTAAAAATATGTACCATAAAACCATAGCCGCGGACTACACCATAGCTTCGTAGCTTATCCCCCCAAACGCGAAATTCATGGCATGCGCAGCTAAGGCAAATTGTAACCTGGGAAATGCAGGGTTCTGTGATTCGAATCCCAGTGGGGTTCGAACTGGGGACGGCATTTCTAAGTTCTTAACGGGCTGTGGCTCGCCTGTTAACTTGAGCAGCCGTTAGATCGAGTCAGGTTCTTTATGAGAATTTTATTGTTGTCAGCCACATTCTGGAGAACGTGGCTGACAACTGCCAGGTTCTCCAGAACCCAGCTGCCAGCTGCGAGGTTCTGGAGAACCCTCTCATTCTCCAATAATGTTATTACACGTGTCCATTAACGGTCTCGCCACAGCCCGTTAAGGCCATTCCCGGGCACGGCCTCGTTCATTCCCTCCAGAATGCGCTGCTGGGCTAACACCTGGCTCGCCTGTTCTGGGCGGGAACGTGCTCACCCTACCCGGGAACTGCCTCTTCGGGCGCTAGGGTTTTTGAGGAGTAGCGCTTCCCTCAAGAGGTATGCACTCTAGCACTAGATCTCCTCTTTGTTTCCATTGGTGATTTGGCCAACATGAGTGCTTGATCAAGAAGCCCTAGCAAGCGCAGTCCCCTTTTTCCTTCTTTCTTTTATTAATAATTCTTGACAACAATGGCCCAAGAACTTTAGTAGCCCAACTCTAACGGTGGCAGTAGCAGTGGAATTCTTAGGTACATTCCCTTCCTTCCTTAGAAACGCTGTGCTTTATTGTTTTAGATTCCTTCCCTTTCCCCTTAGAAATGCTGTGCTTTATTGTTTTAGATGGATTTTCCAAGTCTTAATTGATATTAGCTTTTTTTGTTATCCTTTCTAATATTTGTTTGGGTATAGCTCAAATGTAATAAATACATCAAGTCCTAAACCCATTACTCACCTCATAATCAGAGAACGAGAAAATATATTTTGCCTCTTCAAGTAAAGTGATTGTGTGATCCTAGATTATCCAAAAGTTTAAAGAGCAATGAAAACAATCTTTTTTGTTCGGTAATATCAAATTTTAGTAAATTGAGATATGTATCACACAATCTCTTGAGAGGGATTGTTTTCGTTACTCTTTAGGCATTTGAATGGGTTTTACATTAACATAATTTTTTATTTTTTAGTGGTATTTTTTAATCTAAAAACATGTGAGCACTAACAAAATATAGATTTATTATATGAAAATTAATCAATTATTAAGGGAGATAGTTGAGCTTTTTATCCACGAGTTTTACAATTTTAATGCTTAATCTATTCAATGCAATAAATTAAGCATTGAAAATTAACAAAAGAATTCATGCCTAAAAAACAACATCAAAAACAAAAAAAAAACAACAAAAAAACATGTACTTTTTCAAATTGTTCAGCTTTCTCATTATTTTGTCCCATTGAGATGAGAAATCTTCACTTCCCAACAGCATTGGCTTGTACATTGACTTGATCAAGGATCACATTTTATCCATAATCGCTTCATTTGAGAAGACAAAACGTATTTTCTTGTTCTCCTTCCTAATGTTCAGTCAGGGGTATAGCTCAAATGTAATACATTGAGCCTTAAACCATTATTTGCCTCATAATCAAGAAAGCCACAAGAAAATTACTAATTGAAAAGAAATATATTTGCTTACCACAAGCACTATTATCTTTAGTCACATGGATCTTGGTAAATGCCTTGCTAAACCCTTTCCATGCCACCATACTGCACCACATGCCACCATAAATTATAAATTGGTCCTTTTAGATCTAAAGGGGATTTATGAAATTTTTTTAAGATGGGATTTAAAGGGACTTCCTCCAAAAGTATTTTGCAATGACAACTTCAACTGTCTAGAATTTTTTTCAATGCAAGTTGTTGGAGTTGCATTGAATGCTAAAGTGGAGATTGCTTTGCAAAAGGTTGTTTTAGAATGGATTTTTCATTTTATAATTCTTTTTAGGTGGTTTAGTTGTGTTACATCATGAGTATAGGAGTGGCTAAATTAGCATTCACACTATATAATTATGTATAGTGAAATCTAGACATGTGGGAGAGCATTGGGTGGAAACTCTTGTTGTGTAGGGAGGTTAACTGTTTTTCATAGCCCTTGCTTACCAACAAAAATTCGAAACATACAAAAATAACATCAATGAATAAAGAAATTTAAAGAAGTAATAATATATTTTCTGGATTGTATTTTTTATATCTTCTCCATTGCCGTGTAAGCAACCAAAGGGAACGACTCGAGAGATGATCCATGGGGTTCAAATATAAAGGGAAAGGGCCCATCAACAAGAGTGCACCCCCTTTTCCAATCGGTTAAGGGTCTTGGGATAGTTGGAGTTAAGCGTCCTTGGGTGTGAATAGTACTGGGCTGGGTGACCTCCCGGGAAGTCCAAACTCAGGAGCTTACATTTGGTATCAGAGGGGTCTCGGGTCCGACTCTGTTGGTTGGCTAAGGGAATCACACCATATGTTGATTGACATCTAGCTGGTCCAGTTTGCTCCTGCTGGGCTCGACCCAAGGGGTAGGGTGTCAAGAGAGCGAGGCTCTCGGGAAAACTACGGCTCTCAGCTTCCGATTGACATCTGGCTGGTCCAGTTTGCTCCTGCTTGCAGGGAAGCATGGTGGATTGTAAGCAACCAAAGGGAACAACTCGAGAGACGATCCATGGGGTTTAAATATAGAGCATGAACATGAGTGCACCACCTTTTCCAATCGGTTAAGGGTCTTGGGATAGTTAGAGTTAAACATCCTTGGGTGTGAATAATACTGGGCTGGGTGACCTCCCGGGAAGTCCAAACTCAGGAGCTTACATTCCGCTCCCATCATCTCCACCACCACCTCCACCACCATCCCCTCCATCAAAATTGGCACTACCACCATGCATGTCATCACCATTGCCGCCAAAGTTGCTGCCATCTCTCTACCACCTCCACACCACTCATCACCTCGGCTGCCACTATCTCCACCACCATCGCTGCCACCTCCACACGGCTCACCACCATCACTTTGGCAACCACTTCCAAAGTATTGATTGAGATACATTCTTCTCATGCACTATCCTTATTTGCTCTTTGGCAAGCATAAAACATAAAGACCACCACCAAGGAAAGCAGAATTTTTATTTCGGATCTTTTATTTTTTTTGGTAACTTAAATCCTTTGCCTTGTTCCTTGTGAGTAGCAGTGTCAGCCTCCACCAGCCTTCACCAGCACCAAGAGCCTCAAAGGTAGTTCTTACTTCAAAACATTGGAAGCAGCCTGGATTGGCCACGCTGAGTTTCACAGGCGCTCTTGGTTCCATGTGGAGCTCACTCAGGTACTGTTAAGAAAGTAAGCTTTTTGTTGGTCTTTTTACTTATTTTTCGTTTGCAGTGGGAAGAAAACGAAAAAGAGAAACTGTGTTGTGTCCCACGAATGGAGGGAGCTTTATTCTTCCGGAAGAGAAGGTTCGTTGGTCTCTTGTTTTGTGGCTTTTCCTATGTACTTACTTCCTCCGCACCGAAGATCTCACACTGCTGGGAGAAGCGCGGCGAGTTTTGCGTCCGTTGAGCGATCAAACATGCTCCGCAGCCATCGTCTCCTTGTTCCAGTGTAGGCTCCTTCAATCGTTTAGTATCTAGTTAATTTGCGAAGAAAATGTGATCTTAGGAGGCAAAGCTCGTCAAGGATCTCCCGGAATTTCCAGGGCTTTTGCCGTCGATAACACTGCTCACTCTCTGGCGGCTCTCATCCAGCGCCAGTGCTTTGGCCAAGCTACTCGTGTTTTGCTCGAGGGGGATGGCACAGGCACCAGCTCGATCGGTTTGTAGACTTCTTCCTCGGCTTTCACAGGAGGAAGGCTGGCGGCGCTCGTCCGTGGCTCCTGAATCAGGCGTTTGCTTCGGCCGTGAGGACTATCACACCGATTTGTTCCACAGGTGGCCATGACGAGGAAGAGAAAACAGCGTTTACCACCACCGGCGATGAAATGCTGGAGAAACTCAAGGCTTTCCTGAAGGGAGCTGACTTGCTCACTCGTCTCTACAACTTGTTGCTCGTAAGGTTCACTTTCGCTTTTCTTGCTTTGCTCTTTTTCTTTCATTTAACTCATCTTTCCAGGAACCTGATCCGGTGCATCGAGAGGTGCTCCGCTTCTTGTTTGCTCGGACATCTGATCCATATGCGCTTTTCTTGCGATCATGCATATACTGCGCTGATCAAAAGGACCCGCATGGAGCATTTATTCTGGAGCAAGCGTCAAGGCCTCAGCCAGTGGAGAACTCGAAAGGTCCGGATTTCTTTTCATCACGTCCCAGACTTGTGTGTGATCTTTCCATCCCCTAGGTCCGGACTGGCGTCAATACAGGACAACAGTTGGAAGTCGTCCAGAGACGCGTGAGTTTGCCCAGACCTTGAGCTTTGCATTTCAAGGCTCCATGCCAAGTGACGAGACGGACATGGAAGGGCAGGTCTCTTGTTTCTTATCTGTGGCTTTTCATAAGAAAGGCCTCAGGCAAGTTTTCAAGCAGGGGCAGCATCAAGCGGAGACGACTGCAGAGAACTACCATAAATTTTTCGGTGGCAAGTATCCCACAAAACTGGTAAAGCGTCTTTAGTTTACTCTCCGAGACTTCGCGAGGACAGCGCACGGCAATGATACTGGTGCTAGCTCTGAGCAGGGAACTGCAAGTTGTGACAAGAGCTATTTACAACCACACACGGACTGTCTTTTCGGAATCGGGTTCCTCGGCCGATCGAGCATCAAGCATCTCATTCTTACTTACGACGCAAGATGCTGGGCTGCCAAGAAATCCAATTTATGCTTGCGGCGAAGAGTACATCTCCACGCTGTTTACGAATACCGCTGATGGCTGGGATATAAGAGAAGAGCTAAGATTCCCCATCAATCAATCAATCATTGTTTTAACGGTTGAAACAATGGCGCAAAGTTATTCATGTAAGTTCTTGGTTTTTTATGTTCTGAAGAAATGATTTTCACTTATGGATGTCTTCATAGTTTTTGTTGTCGTGATATGCTCGAGTGATCACGATTTATGAAAGTAAGTATGTGAAATGTTTTGCTACGGTGGTCAAGCGTTTGTTTTGTGGTCGTAGATGTTTAAAGAGCTGCCGGATTGAGCGACAATCGTCTTGAGCAGCGAAGACGAATTCCAGAAACTAGGCTCGCCTTGACGGGAAAGCAAAAAGGTTCTTTGGTTTTGTTTTGTTTTTTTCTTTTTCTTTTTCTACCAGGACACACAACTCATGACAGTCATCCTAGAGTGCTGCCTCCAAGAGAAAGTCTTCAATAAGTATTACCCGCTTCTACTGTGTCACATTCAACTTACAAGTCCGCGACTAACTGGACCACGGATCTTTTTCTTGACAGCACCCAAAGTAGTGGATTCCATGACCATGGCAGTGGTCGATGATTCACGTAAGTCGCGCTTCTGGGCGAGTCACTTGGTTGTGGTATTTGGGATGGGGCTGCACAAGTATGGCCGTGAAACCTATTGCCTGTGGGGCATTCCTCCCCGCTGGCAATAGCTTGCTGTATTCTCTCCCACAGCTGCACCAAGTTGGCTTCCTCCATTCTCGTCCTCGACCGCTCCATACAAGTCACTCTTTGGTGCTGAGACTTACAGCAATCTCCAAGAGGTTTACACCGTTGCAAAGGCCGGGCTCGTCAACTTACTGGTGGATGCCGCAAAGAGAAGGGAGTCCGAGGCAGAGTTTGCGGCACTTGGAAGCTGGTACCCGGACATGTATGTTCATCCCAGTGATCCAGTATGCTCGGGCTTTCTCGAGCACTTCAAGAACTATCAGTATATGCTACAGGGGAAGTATGCGAGATTGGCGATGCCTCACGCATCCATCCGGGGCGTGCTCTGCTCCTCCAAAGCGAAGCCGCATCACCTCATCCCCTCGGCAAGGCTTCACGTCCCAGCGGATGAAGGCAAAGCTGCGAGTGCTCGAGACGCTCATTCTCTTACACAGTGGTGATCGGATGGAGCAGTCGTTCAGGTGCAATTTGTCAACTTGACATCATCTGTACTCAAAGAACCCGAGAAAAAAGTTTTTATTTTTTCCTGTGCTAGACCATAAGAGAACGTGGCGTGTTTTCGACGTTCAATCTGACTGGAAGAACGTCACAGGTGGATGTTTACCACGTCATGACTTTACAATGAACACTTTCATTGTCTCCTCGAGCCAAAGGCTTCAAAGTAAGTTCGGTCGCGTTTGTTTTTGTTAGATGGTCAAAGAGAGAACGAGGCCGGATAATGAGGGTTGGCGGTCTCAACTGGAGAAGCACAAGCCAGTGAGGACAGATAATGGGGAAAGAAGAAGCTGAGCTTCCCGAAAATGAGATTTTTTAATCGATGAAGCGTCACTCTGCTTCCGCGGAAGTTAGGTTTTTTATGCTACGAGAAGGGTTTGCTCGTCCATTTGCATCCCTTTTGCAGTACTATAAGGTGCTTCTCACCACTCTTCTAGGCATTGCCCTTGTGATGAAGAAAAGGAGCAAAGAAGCGCCTGTGTTGCTGCAAGACGACATTTTGGAGACGGTTCTCAGCTATGTGGACCTGGCCACACTAGCGACCTCATGCTCCGCCGTTTGCAAGTCATGGAACGCCATCATCGGCGATCCATCCTTTCGCCGCCGCTGGTGCCAAAACAGTGGCCACAAGGAATCCTTGCGGCTTATGACTAGCTCCTTCGACTACGGCGAGCGTTGCCACGCCTGGGATCCATCACGGCCCCAACGCAGCGTGGAGTTTCCGTTGCCCCACAAAACGGAAGAATTTCCTAACGCTCAAGTGGTTGCTTCCGCGGGTGGCCTGGTATGCGTCTTCAGGACGCACAGGGGCATGGTTGATCCTGCTGATGATGTGTTTCACCTGGTGGTGGGGAATCCAGTGACCCAAGAGTGGAGCGAACTACCACCGCTCCATTGGGAGGACAGAGAAAGATGCACTTTAGCGGGAGTGATCGACTCTGCCATGTTCGTCGACAAGAATGGCTTCAAAGTCGGTCTGCACTACACCGCTGTCGACTTCTCAGGCCACTGGTGCTGCATCTACGACTCGGCAACGCGCTCCTGGTCTTCTCTCCCCAAGCTCCCGTTCTCGCCAGCCTACGTCAAAATGAAGGCGCAGCGGCTTTCAGATTACAGCGTGGACGTGGCACCCCCTGCTGTATTCCCAGGCTTGGACGATTACTTCTACGATCTCACCATCCTGGGATTTTACGACTTTGGCCGCGCCAGGTGGAGCACCGGGGAAGTCGTGCGCAGCCTGAGGATTACAACAGGCCTGGAAGACAAGGTTGACCCGGATGGAGAGATCCTGCGCTGCGTCTTGCCGCTCCCGGGACTGTGCACCGCGAGGCTGTGGGAGTACAATGGCCAGCGATACTTGGCAAGTGGCTGGGTGTATGCGGGAGGCTACCGCGAGGCAGGGGAGTCCGGAGTTGATGGCTATGGCGTGTGGAAGGTTGACGACAAGGGTGGCTTGGTTGCCGTCTCTGCAAAGACCCATAAATCGATCCTTCGTCAAGTGTACGCTGGGCAGCGCTTTTTCGGAGCGGTTTTCCGTTGTTCTGTTCATGCAGAGGCCAATCTGGTGATCTTTTCAGAGATAGGGATCATGTTTGTTTACGACTTGAGCACAGGGGATTGGGGCGGAGTAGGGGGGCACGTAGATGAATATTCACAAGCAGTGATTTTTCGCCCGTCCCTCAGGGCACCTAGATGATCCAGAAAGGAGGATGAACGCCACACAAACAGGTATTGTTAATCCTGAGCTAGTCTGTAAGTTAACGAGACTTCCTGGGCTGGCAGGAACGCACACACCTGTTTGGAGCATTGGCAAAGTCTGTCTATTATTCAATAATTATACACATTTTGTACATAAAAGATTTTGAGATTCTAAGATTTTGTAAAACCCTAAACCAATAGGGCTAGGATGTGTATATAGAAGATTTTGCCTCCCAGAGGATTGCTGCTCAACAATACGGTAGACAGCAGATAAATATTCATGATGGAGATGAAAGTCTGCTCTTCAAACCAATGAATGCCTCATGATCCGCTGGTCATATTCGTAGGTTGGATTCGAGGCCTCTGCACCGAAGATCTCACGCTGCTGCGGCCGTGGTCTAAACTAAAATCGAAGCTTTTCTCTTTTCTGTATCTTCTCTTTCATGGTAAAACATTACATACCACATTTGACGTTTCTGTCATCCTTTTGTTCGTGTCTAAAAGAAAAAAAGAATTAGAAACACAAGAAAGAAACCCTGGGATGAATGTTGCCAAAGAGAACCAAAAGACGCCATTAACTACGAGCAAAGCCGCTCTTTCATGTACAAATCTACGTACCCGTGGGCCTTCATTAGCTATTTACACTTTGGCGCTCCTAAGAGGATCAAAAGAGTGGTGTCTTTTTGTTGCTGGTCATCAATAATTTTTTTGGTCCCGGGACATTTCCAGATGTTAGTGCTGTAAACAGGAACTAAGGAGGACGGGAGATTTCTGGTAAGTTTGTTCTTCTTGATGTTGCCTTACTGATCTTGAGTAATAGTTATCTGAATATACGTGGCAGCATGCTTCAAAGAATTGGTAATGCTTTTTAGGCATACTCAAGATAAGAGGATAAAGGAAATGCAAACCTACTGGAAATTTATACGTGACGATCGCATTGTTTTCCCCTTCTTTCAAGCCTCGTCGTCTACAACCTTGGAGCTAAATACTTTACACCAAACTTTTAATCGATTCCTGAAAGCTTATGCCTCTGAAAAAGAAAGGGGTATGTGTGTGTGTGTGTGTGCAGCATTCATTTGGAAGTATCCCAATTCTGCCCCATAGTGTCTTTAACATCAATATCGTTTCCTTCAGCTTGTTTTCAGTTTATATACTAGGAATTCCCGATCTGCCTGCATATGCCATCTGGAAAAACAAAGTCGTGACTTGTATCTGGACAAAGCAACTCAATGCCACCTAATAAAATGAATATGGGACAAGATGTTAAGTCAATCTAGAAGCTCTTTTCTCACATAAGGAGTGCAATAGTAGTAAAATCTCTGTTTCTTGCAAAAAAGGTATCGATTGCTTCTGTTCTCTCGTTTTACAGCTCAATGACGTTGACTTCCTTTCTCTTGTAAGAGACTTGCAGTTTGTTGCTACCTTCTTCTACCATCTGTGTGATCTCCTGTACTGCTTTCCTGCATTCAGGACTAACAGAAATTCCCACTTACATGAAAATATAATTATAAATATCTTTAGAGATCCGTAGTGCTTATATGGTTGGATAGTGAACATTATACACTAGCAGAGTCCTTGTCCTCGGATCTCCAAGAAGAACGCCATTGTAGCGTGACGGCTCCCCTGGCGTCTCCACACAACTTGACGACGCCCAAGTTTCCGGATGGAGTCCTGGTGAAAGTATGTATTTGATCTCCAACGAGTGTCCAGTTTTAAGTTAGAAGAGGAAATGTATGATTCGCAAGGAGTTATTTTACCGGTTTGAGAAACTCGTTGAGTCGAACGTTCTCAGATGCTTGTTCGTGACCAACTTCTTGAGGAAATACTCCTTGTTCATGAGCTGGAGAAGCTCCTCCTGTTCCTCCTGCTCGGATCCTAAAGAACATCCACACTCTACAAGTTACCTTGCTCCATGATCTATTTTGTAGTCATGTCCACAGGGATAGAGTAGAGATCTATCAAATGAATGGAATAGCAAATTTATGCTAAGGACTTTAGGCTTTGGAATTCGCGTGTTATGATCGTAGCGCGCCCATCCGAGGCGCCGACTCGGAACTTTCAGTGGAGAGTTCAAGGAAGTTAACTTCTAGTCGTCGTTCTTAATTCTTAACAAACTAAAATTTCTCAACAGCCAAGACTCCATTGGTCTCTTTTTCTCTTTTACAGCTCGATGGTGAATTCTGGTGAACTTTCGAGCTGGAAAGTCAAAAGAACGACGCTGGAGTCCGAAATTTCTCAAGTAAGGTCACTAGCGGAGTATAGCTTGGACGAAGATCCTTCCATCAAGTAATGTGAAAGATTCTCTATGAAACATTGTTCTTCCTCCTGGCTACTGCAGCAGCTACTTGCTATGCTTTGGGTTGGAGAAGTTCAATCCACCGGCAACATTTCTCTTCCGCTGCATGTACAAACGCAAACCATATTAGTTATTTTTTCCAGAGCCAACCATTTTGATACAGAAGTACGTCCTGCATTTCTTATCTAGTGTTATATAGTTGATCTTGGACTCGAGAGTGTTCTCTCAAAGATACTTCGAGCTCCTGGATTACTTTCAGCCCGATATTTCTCGCCCTCTGTAGCCATTTTCAAACTTATGTCGCATCTCTCATTATAGCATTTAGCATCCTTTTTAATCGATTGTTATGCAAACAGTGGAATCGTTTGGGCATCGTGGAGAAAGCTATCCCTTTCAAAACTTCACTTGCGAGAACCTCAAGTATCTCACAACACAGCATGATTATGCTCTCTTTATTAAGTAGATAAATATCTAGAGCGTGTTTTCCCGTGATTTTAGCACAGAACTTGACGATAAAGCAAGGAAGCAGACTTTCATCCCCATCATGAATATTTATCTGCTGTCTACCGTACTGTTGAGTAGCAATCCTCTGGGAGGCAAAATCTTCTATGTACATAGAATCTCAAAATCTTATATGTACATAATGTGTATAATTCTTGAATAATAGACAGACTTCGCCAATGCTCCAAACAGGTGTGTGTGTTCCTGCCAGCCCAGGAAGTCTCGTTACCTGTTTGTGTGGCGTTCATCCTCCTTTCTGGACGGGCGAAAAATCACTGCTTTTGAATATTCATCTACGTGCCCCCCTACTCCGCCCCAATCCCCTGTGCTCAAGTCGTAAACAAACATGAGCCCTGTCTCTGAAAAGATCACCAGATTGGCCTCTGCATGAACAGAACAACGGGAAACCGCTCCCATAGAGCGCTGCCCAGCGTACACTTGACGAAGGATCGATTTATGGGTCTTTGCAGAGACGGCAACCAAGCCACCCTTGTCGTCAACCTTCCACACGCCATAGCCATCAACTCCGGACACCCCTGACTCGCGGTAGCCTCCCGCATACACCCAGCCACTTGCCAGGTATCGCTGGCCATTGTACTCCCACAGCCTCGCGGTGCACAGTCCCGGGAACGGCAAAACGCAGCGCAGGATCTCTCCATCCGGGTCAACCTTGTCTTCCAGGCCTGTTGTAATCCTCAGGCTGCGCACGAGTTCCCCGGTGCTCCACCTGGCGCGGCCAAAGTCGTAAAATCCCAGGATGGTGAGATCGTAGAAGTAATCGTCCAAGCCTGGGAATACAGCAGGGGGTGCCATGTCCACGCTGTAATCTGAAAGCCGCTGCGCCTTCATTTTGACGTAGGCTGGCGAGAACGGGAGCTTGGGGAGAGAAGACCAGGAGCGCGTTGCCGAGTCGTAGATGCAGCACCAGTGGCCTGAGAAGTCGACAGCGGTGTAGTGCAGACCGACTTTGAAGCCATTCTTGTCGACGAACATGGCAAAGTCGATCACTCCCGCTAAAGTGCATCTTTCTCTGTCCTCCCAATGGAGCGGTGGTAGTTCGCTCCACTCTTGGGTCACTGGATTCCCCACCACCAGGTGAAACACATCATCAGCAGGATCAACCATGCCCCTGTGCGTCCTGAAGACGCATACCAGGCCACCCGCGGAAGCAACCACTTGAGCGTTAGGAAATTCTTCCGTTTTGTGGGGCAACGGAAACTCCACGCTGCGTTGGGGCCGTGATGGATCCCAGGCGTGGCAACGCTCGCCGTAGCCGAAGGAGCTAGTCATAAGCCGCAACACTGTTTTGGCACCAGCGGCGGCGAAAGGATGGATCGCCGATGATGGCGTTCCATGACTTGCAAACGGCGGAGCATGAGGTCGCTAGTGTGGCCAGGTCCACATAGCTGAGAACCGTCTCCAAAATGTCGTCTTGCAGCAACACAGGCGCTTCTTTTCTCCGTTTCTTCATCACAAGGGCAATGCCTAGAAGAGTGGCGAGAAGCACCTTATAGTACTGCAAAAGGGATGCCCCAAATGGAACAAGATTACCTTCCATGTCCTCGAGCAAACCCTTCTCATAGCATGGAAGCAGAGTGACGCTTCATCGATTAAAAAATCTCATTTTCGGGAAGCTCAGCTTCTTCTCACTGGCTTGTGCTTCTCTAGTTGAAATCGCCAACCCTCATTATCCGGCCTCGTTCTCTCTTTAACCATCTAACAAAAACAAACGCGAGCAAACTTACTTTGAAGGCTTTGGCTCGAGCAAGACAATGAAAGTGTTCATTGTAAAGTCATGACGTGGTAAACATCCACCTGTGACGTTCTTCCAGTCAGATTGAACGTCGAAAACACGCCGCGTTCTCTTCTAGCACAGGAAAAAATAAAAATCTTTTTTCTCGGGTTCTTTGAGCACAGAGAAAATATGTACCATCAAATCATTGCCGCGGACTACACCATAGGTTCATAGCTTATCCCCCCAAACGGGATTTGCAGCGGATGATCCAAGTGTTCTTGACCTGTCAAGTTGACAAATTGCACCTGAACGACTGCTCCATCCGACCACCACTGTGTAAGAGAATGAGCGTCTCGAGCACTCGCAGCTTTGCCTTCATCCGCTGGGACGTGAAGCCTTGCCGAGGGGATGAGGTGATGCGGCTTCGCTTTGGAGGAGCAGAGCACGCCCCGGATGGATTCGTGAGGCATCGCCAATCTCGCGTACTTCCCCTGTAGCATATACTGATAGTTCTTGAAGTGCTCGAGAAAGCCCGAGCATACCGGATCACTGGGATGAACATACATGTCCGGGTACCAGCTTCCAAGTGCCGCAAACTCTGCCTCGGACTCCCTTCTCTTTGCGGCATCCACCAGTAAGTTGACGAGCCCGGCCTTTGCAACGGTGTAAACCTCTTGGAGATTGCTGTAAGTCTCAGCACCGAAGAGTGACTTGTATGGAGCGGTCGAGGACGAGAATGGCGGATTGAAGAGATGAGCCTCGACGAACTGGCCATGCGATGCCATCATCCGAGCGGCGGAGAGCGCCACCGCTGCTCCGAGCGAGTGCCCCGTAATGCAAACGTTGTCCTTGCCATGCCATGCGACGGCGTTTCGGAGAGCGTTGTACGCGGCTGTGAACCTGCCTGTCTTGTAAAGCTCCTGGTTGGCGATCTTGAAGTCGACGATGTAGTCGCTGGTTACGCTGTCCGTGCCTCTGAGCGCCAGGACCACCATCGGAGCTCTGGCAGGCTTCCAGTGGTTTTTGTAGTTCCACACGAACACTGCGCCGTTGATCCGGAGCTTGTCATTGCCGAGGATCACGTCGAGGAGCTCGTAGTTGAAGGACGTCCACCAGGGAGGAGCGAGAGCTTGCGGAGTTCCTGTGTAGTTTTTCGCTCTGTCGTGCTGGAGTGAGTACACGCTTGACACAAGGCATGCCAAGATTGCTCTTTTGTCGTCCGGAACATCCCTGGAAAGAATGTATGGTAAGAACTCCCGAAGACTCGAGATAAAAAGCTTTTAAAGGACGAGAACTCTAGCCGGACCAAGTCTTTAGCAGCAATGAAACAAAAAAGTAGACAAAAGCCCAAGCAAGCTTTGCGAAACAACAAAAAAAAAAAGAATGGAGAAGTGAGGACCAATCCACTAAAGACTAGCCATCGAAATAACTCTAGCTACTTATCAATCAGCCCTTAGCACGCAAGTGAACGAAAGAGACACCAAAATGGGACAAATGAAAGGCTATGATCCAAAGACAAGCCTAGGGTAGCTGAGAATTCTCTCGGGGGCGATTGGAATCAATCGAAACGGGATTCTACTGCCAAAATCACACACTTCAGCCAAATTTTCAAGCTACCCTAGGCTTGTCTTTGGAAATGTCGGAAACATAAGAGACAACCATTGTTAAGACGAACGGCTGTCTCATATGGTTCATACCGAATCTTTTTCTAGAAGTTGCAATAAACCTTTCGTTGTATACTATGTTTAGGATCTCATCCGCGAGTTACAAGAAAGAAAGAGCTGACTTACCATTTATGATACATCACACCATAAGTAATCTACAAAATAATAAAGGTCGAGCTCGAACATTACAAGCATACCTGGTAGCTTCTCTTCCGTGAGTAGATCCAAAATCAAGCCAAAGTAACAGCACAGAGAGCAAAGCGTAAGCAGCGAACTAGTATTACTTCGAGCTCCGATCACAGTTAATTGAACCAAGAGTACGAGATAGAGCAAGTACTAACTCGAGATCAACTTCTCCGTGAAACCGAGTAATCCATGAGCATAGACTCATGCCTGCCGCCGGAGACACGACGAAGTCTGCCTCGCACTGAAACGGCAGCATTTGCTTGATCCACTCCGCTTCCCGCACCTTTAAGGGGATCCGGCCTGGTTACGAGTATGTTCTTGAGCAGGCCCCTCACCTCCCTTGACAGGTAACCGAAGTTGCCATCAAGGCCATAGCATGTCAGCTGGAGATCACTCTTATCCTCCTCCTGATCCCACAAAAGCCAAGACTTTGTGTCCGCAACTGCTTGCTCCTTGCATTGACATACACGGTAACCACAGGAAGAACTTTCCACTTGGTGAGCTCGGATGAGACACCGCCCCTCGTCTTCAGGGACACAACGCAGCAAGTCATCCCCTCAGGAAGAATGAGATCGGCACCACGCATATCGTTTTCCGCTTGATGCCCGATAGCAAGGCCTCCTGCAAAGTATCTCGCTGCAGTATCCGGGACTTCCCGCACGGCAAAAGAATTGCAGAACAGGGGACCACCACTTTGATCGGATGAAGGTACCAGCTAAGCATACCGCTTCACTTCTTGAACTTGAGCAGGCTAGCAGCTGGGCGTCGCTGGAAGAGCGACAAACAACCTGTTTTTCATAGTAATACGACGTTCATATGTGACGCTACCATCGGGCAGCGAGGACACACCTGCAGGCCTGTTGCAGCAGCAAACAATACCATCCCTGGCTCTCTGTCACCTTGCCTTCAATGGCGAACTCATTACTGATTCCCATTTCACCCTATCCTATTCTGGCGGCCCGCACAGGCCTTCCATACTTCATCCAGGTTGACGAAGAACTATACTCCGCAACGCTCAGGCCCGGCTTGAGCATGTCTAGTTGCAAAGTTAGCAAGAAGTAGATCGGAGGCAATAAGCATCTCCCGGTCTTCAAGGCCCTGCTGCTGTTGTCCTCGTCACTCTTTCTTGGCAAAAACTTCGCGGTTGTCCAGCATGAGCACAAAGTAGGCATTCCACGGAAACAAAACTCTGAGCGCCCCGCGGAGCTGAGGTTTCGTTCAGACCCCTTGCCTCGTCAAACACGAAAACGGCTCGCCTGTCCTCGCCGCACTTTCTCGGCGAGCTGCTGTTGTCCTCGTCGCTCTTTCTCGGCAAAAGCTTCGCGGTTGAGTCCAGCGCAAAGCTGGCATTCCACGGAAACAAAACTCTGAGCGGGTTTCGTTCAAACCCCCTGCCTCGTCAAACACGAAAACGACTCGAGGATTACATCACGGAACTCTGGTCGTAAATGCGCGGCTGGTGATCACCATCCAAGAGCTGTTGCAACTGCTCCAATGTTTTTCCATGATTTCACGCTTATCCTCAATGTGAGTTCTTCCCACTTCTCGCTCACTGCTCGGGCGATGCCAGAATCGCTGCCAGGCAACTGCTTATCCTTCCACCGAAGTTCCTTTCTCCAATTCATGGAGCCAGGCATTCACAAGTAGAACACCATCTCTAGCTCGGTGAAGCTTTGTGTGCCAGGAATTCAGTCTTAAGTCCTTGGCAGATGAGGAGTCCTTGCCAGGCTGCTGTACACACCTAGCCTGGACATCTCCATGACAGACCTTCGAAGCATTCAGCCATCTAAAATAGAGTTTTAGATTAATTATTTTTAATAAAGTTTTTTAAAAAGTAAATTCTTTTGATATTAATAATTTTGGATTTTTATTAACAATAAATAAGTATTTTTAATAATAAAGAATAAAGAAAATTAGGAATGCTTGGTTAACATTGTAGCTTTAGGCATTTACATAATATTTTTGCTATGTTTTGTTTTTTTTGTTTGTAAAATTAATACAGATTTAAATAAAAATAAGTGTTTTAGTTTATAAATAATAAATTTAAAATTTAAATATTTATAGTTGATTATTATTTTATTAACTTGAAATCTAAATTCACATAATCTTTTAGTTTTTAGGCTTTTGAATAGGCCTAAAAGCAACATAGTTTTCTCTTTTTCAGTAGTATTTTTTAGTCTGAAAACATGTAAACATTAACAGAACATAGATTGAGATACTTTAAAATAAATTTTTATTATTGACTCACTCTTAATCACCATTAATCACCATATAGTTATATGGAAATCACCATTCTTTTATATTTGAAATTTTTATAGTTTAAAATTATAATATAGTTTACTTTATTAAATTCTTCTATTAAATTTCATAAATTAACATTACAATACCAACCACAGTTTTATTAACTTTTAATTTTCTTTTCAACCTTAAACTTTTTCTAAAATACTTAAATTAAATGTACCAATGTAATTTATAAGCATAATTTATAAACACAATTTTGTAGTTTCTCTTAGATGATTTATTTAACTAATCATACCAAAAAGAAAAGAAAATATTAAATTATTTTAACTAATATTATGTGTTATTTAAATTTTTCACAATTGTGATTGTTACATCTATTATACACTTATTTTTATTTCTTCTATTCACAAAACTAACTAATGATCTTTTTAAATGTAATAAAACTTAGCTATACATACATACATATATATGTATGTATATTTATGTATATTCAGTACATTTAAAAAGATCATTAGTTAGTTTTGTGAATAGAAGAATTAAAAATAAGTTGCTAATGTTCCCACCCAATGCTCCCTAGAACGTTCAAATTTCACTACACATACTTGTGTAATGAGAACACTAACTTGGCCAGTCACATACTCGTCATGTGGCACAACTAAACCACCTAAAAAGAAATGTATGAAAAAATCCATTCAAAAACAAGAAACCAGAAATTAACATTCTGTACGCGCTCTTGCATTAATTAGCTTATTTTAATGTTAATTTTTGGTGTGAACAAGTTAGCATTAAATTTAATATTTAATTAATTAATTAATTAATTAATAATTATTTAATCAAAACCCCCGTGATTCCCACCTTCGGAAAATTTCGTAGTGGATTGTATCTCTAACAAGCCTTTTAAGACTTAGAAGATCCATCTAGAAAAATAAAACACAACGTTTCTAATAGGAAAGGAAAAAAAGGGAATGCACCTAAGAATTCCGCTGCTGCTGCCACCACTAAAGCCGTTAGAGTTCTTGGGCCGCTATTGTCAAGAATCGTTAATGAGAGAAAAACCGAAAAAAGGAACCCGAGAAAGCAATTCATTCATACCATTACATTATTAGATTAAATTTGTAAACTTTAATTTAACTATTAAATTTAATGCTAACTTGTTCACACCAGAAATTAACATTAAAATAAGCTAATTAATGCAAGAGTGTGTACAGAATGTTAATTTCTGGTTTCTTGTTTTCGAATGGATTTTTTCATACATTTCTTTTTAGGTGGTTTAGTTGTGCCACATGACGAATATGTGACTAGCTAAGTTGGTGTTCTCACTACACAAGTATGTGTAGTAAAATTTAAACGTTCTAAAGAGCATTGGGTGGGAACATTAGCAATGCGAGCAGGTGAATTGTTTTTCGTGGCTCTAGTTTGGCAAGGAAGATTTAAAACATACAAACACACCCTTAACGAATGGAGCAAGATTGAAGAAGTGGTATGTATTGATCTCAATTGTATTGTTTATATCTTACTATTTGTTTCTTATTTAGATTCAGGAAGCTCTACTTCCCCTCCCAGCGTCACCACCACCTCCCATCCCTGGAGCTTGGTCAAGCTCAAGACGAGGGAGGAGGTAAGAAACGAGTACGAGAAGCTCCAGGCACGGAAGGTGGAGCAGAAGCTCGCGTCTCACATTCTACACTCAAGATCGATGGTCATCTATCTCTCGCTCGTCAAGGCCATGCGATCGTCTCTTCTCAAAGGGGCTGCGCTTACTGCGTAAGCTTGGTGTTTCACTCTCTTCGAGCTTTGTTTCTTCTTCTTTCTTTCGAGTGTTCTGACTTGAAGCAGCTATGCAGGATGGGAATGACCACGCAAATTCAAGCGCAGATGTCTAAGAAAGACACAGTTCTTGCGGGTGGCAACATGTTTCTTCGAAGAAACATGGGAGGAGGCTCCATGACTGGAGTGCTTCGCCACCAATATTGCCCGGCTACGTCTCTGGAGTTCATGGCGACTTTGGGACTTCGGTCGGTTTTGAACTGGCAGATCACCAGGTATTTTCTGTTGCTTGTGGTTTTCTGAGGTTTAAACTTGGAAAGATCAGGCAAATATCGTCTCATTCATCGGGCACGCTTAGCCTCTCTTACTTGCTGCGGAGTGGACACGTAACTCTGGGTGAATCATGGACGAGGCAGATCGCTGAAAACACGACCGCAACTGTAAGGAGTTTGTGGTCTTCTGTTTTTCATTATACTGAGATTTGAATGCTCAGCTTTTGCTCTTTCTTGGTCCTGATCCGAATCAAGCGGGTTTAGTTCTGGGCTGGCAACACAAAGGAACCAAAAACTCGATAAGCTCTGAGATCAAAGCCGGTCCAGCAGCGGCAGGAATCAGTGGCCAAGTCACCAGGCAACTGTCTGGCAAGTCCAAGGGGAAAGTTAGCGCTCGACTTGGGAGGTATGCTCATCTGTGAAAGTCATTTGGTAACTAGAATATCTATGCAGTACTGGTGTTGAGCTCGAGATTGGTGGTGAGAGAAGTATCTCTGACCATAGCTCGGCTGGAATGTTCTGCGTGATAGGCCTTCAGGTACTTGTTATCTGTTTTTTTGTTATATAGGCCTTCTAGTAATCTGCGCTTGTGCTGCAGGGAGTGTCTTGGAAATTCAGGTTCACTCGAGGTGGCCAGAAGTTCGTCGTGCCGGTTAGCAGTTTCACGAGTACTTTCTTTCTTGTGTTATATGGTTCCTCGTCCTGTGCAGCTTTTACTTGCAGCGCGTTTTGATCCGGTAGTGGCACTTGGTGCACTTCTCTTACCATCGACTCTATATGTTGTTCTCAAGGTACATTTATGAAGACCTCGAACCTCTGGTAATCTGTTTGTCTTTCGTGCTCGCAGAAGTACGTCTTTAAGCCGTATTTCTAAAAGAGAGCAGAAGCGAAGAAGCTGGAACAGCGAAAGTCGACAGTAACACAGGTCTGTAGAAGGCTGTTAATTTCAGTGTCCCTGACCAGGATTAACAGGTTCAAGAGTCTCGGGCAAACGCCGAAAAGGCTCAAGATCTTTTGAAAAACGTTGCTCATTGTAAAGTTGCGAAAGCGGAGGAGACAGGAGGCTTGATCATTGCCAAAGCCATTTACGGCGATCTCAAGGCCCGGGATGGAAACGTGTCTGGAGAAGACACCCCTCCAACGATTGACGTGACCATACCTCTGCAGTTCCTTGTCGACGACTCTGGTCAGCTCAAGGTAAAGTTTCTCTACATGGAGGAACTCGTGTCGTTTTGATCTATGTTTCATGCAGCTCCACGCCGGATTGATGGGCTTTTGTGATCCATGCCCGGGCCAGCCAAAGCAGCTGGTTGTCTCGTACACCCTCCAAGGCTCACAGTTCAAGGTAAGGCTTTCCGAGCCGCTCTCGTTAGAATGTCACTGTGGTTTTGTCCAGGCTCTGGTCGATGACTATGAGGAACTCATGATCCCACAAGAAGCTCACAAGCTTTCTTCAAAGTAAATTTTGCGAGCAAAAGGTAGCAAGCTCCATCCAACTTGGAATGCTCTACTGTAGCAACAGATAACAAAGGTGGAGCCACCACCACCACCAGGTATGGATTCTCACATTCTCAAAGCACTAAAAAGAAGCTCTCTTACATTCTAAGAGATTTTATTCGCGTTCCAAGTGCAATACAGCCATGGCAACTGCGAGAGAAAGGTGGCGAGATAAAAGGTCCAGATGGCCATCAACACTCTCACGCTGCCCACCCAGCTCCAAACGCACCGAGCAGCTCCATCGCCCGCCCCAGCTGCCGAAACCGATACATGGTATACACCGCCGCCACCAGTGGATAAGTTGGCAGCCTCTCCTTGCAAAGCAGCCGCTCGTACGCCGCCTGGACGAGGATGAACGCCAAGTAGGGGCCAAACACCGCGAGAGCCACGCCCGGCTTTCCCGAAAAGATGGACATCACCAGAGCAAACGCTGCCCACTCCAATACCCGCGTACGTGGTGTAGTCCCAGACTTGAGGCAGACCTTTGGGATAGCCGAGGATCTCCCAGGGCGGGAGCTCACCCGGGACGCTCTGCTGGTGGCCGCATTTGTCCGCGAAGACGAAGAAGGCGTCGGCGGCGAGCACGTAGATCAAGTCGAGGGCGAAGACGGTGCCAAGCCCGATCCAGAAGTTGGCCTGGAGGAGATCGATCAGGGAGAGTGAGAGCGTCGGGAGGACCACTGCCGAGGTTGCCAGCACTGGACCGAGTAGCCACAGGAAACCGGCCTGCTTGTCCACGAAAGCCAGAGCTTTCTCTCGGATCGACTGTGGATCTTTCGGCGGCCGAGTGGCTCTGGAAGTCTTTGATGAGCTTGAATCATCGCCGCCAGCGTGAGTAGCCGAGCAAAAGATACCACCGAGCTTTTCTTCCTTGCGCTGCGAGACGAAATCCAAGAGTAGAGTGGACGGATTTAGGGTTTAGGGTTTAGGGTTTAGGGTTAAACCCTAAACCGGAAGCGATGGCAGGAAATCTTTGTCAAGCGGAAGAGCTGACTGGAAATTGCGGTGCCAGTATCGTCCCAAGAGAAAAGGCTGCTCCACCATGCAAGGAAAAGAGAGATCGAGTGGGTCTATGGTCTAGCTGCTGGAATGACATCCTAAAGAGCTTACCTGAAGAAGAACAGGCCGGGAGCCCTGCCGCCATTGCCCTCGCAGCTACCATTTCCTTTCCTCCATTAGATACTCTGTCCCGTGGGATATTCTCTACTACGTGGCGAACGCGCAAGCTCGAGTACGGCAAGGTGTGTACGGTAGGCAACAAGAGATCTCCTGGCAAATAGAAAGAGTTATCCGATAACCAAGAACACTAAATGCCATGAAACTTACAAGAGCGATGGTTATTTCCAGTGATCTTCTCGTCGATCAATCGATGGAAAAAGAGCTGCAAAAAGATCGAGGCTTGCGAGCAGGAGAAAGAATCTAGAGGATGTTGCAGCCGCAGAACCACTTACGGCAGCAACTTGGTCGCGGTGATGGCGGTGATGGCGCTGGCGGAAGATTTGGAGGAGAAGAGAATGCGGGAATGGCGACGAGGAGGGTTCCAGCGGAGGAAAGACTGCTGCTGCTTGGCGTGGAATCGATCACCTTGGCTTTGCCTTTGAGAGCGCGCCGCCATTCGTCCTCGACAGTAGAAATGTCGCCAGTGTCGGAATCGCTCGCGTTCGGGGCCGCGTCAGCACTGTCGGAAGAGCTCGGATTCTCCGGAGCGCGAGAGCTCGGATTCTCCACGCTTGATATTTCGGCCCTGGAAGAGCTCGGACCCTCGCCGCGACGGCCGCGAGTGCTCGATTCGGCCTCGCCAGAGCTCGGCATCGATATTACGGCGCTGGAGCTGCTCGGATTACCTCCGCCGGGTGCTGTGGCGCTGGAGCTGCTCGGATCCTCGCCCCTGGAGCGTGGGAAGAATATTACGGAGCTTGAAGGCCCTGGATCGAGAGAACGCGGGATCGATGTGGAGGAGGAAGAGCTTGCGCCGTGGCCAGGGATCGCCGAGGAAGCGCTGGGGCCGCCGCGGATCGACGTTGGCAAGACATCGCCGAATCTTGCGGCCGATGCGATGGTGGAAGCCCTTGCGCTGGACGCGATCGACCTGGAATTGCTCGGCGCAGCCGTGGCAGCTGGATTCGCTGCGAGATCGTCGTGAAGAACCAGCTCGGACTTTCTTTGAAATTGCCCGCCCAAAAAGAAAAACCCTTGATCAATGTAGTAAGTGATTTCTCTAAGTGTGACTGGGAGCTAGTTTATTCGAGGCTTCCTAAGCTTGGATGGATCATACTCAGCAGGATTTCTCTTAGTGTAACTTCATATTACTGAGCTTTATAGAAAAGTTAGAATTTTAGATTGCTCTATTAATTGTAAGGTCTTTGATATTTACAAAATTAACTAATGATCTTTTTAAATGTATTGAATATATATATATATATACATATATATATATGTATGTATGTATAGTTAAGTTTCATTACATTTAAAAAGATCATTAGTTAGTTTTGTGAATAGAAGAAATAAAAATAAGTGTATAATAGATGTAACAATCACAATTGTGAAAAATTTAAATAACACATAATATTAGTTAAAATAATTTAATATTTTCTTTTCTTTTTGGTATGATTAGTTAAATAAATCATCTAAGAGAAACTACAAAATTGTGTTTATAAATTATGCTTATAAATTACATTGGTACATTTAATTTAAGTATTTTAGAAAAAGTTTAAGGTTGAAAAGAAAATTAAAAGTTAATAAAACTGTGGTTGGTATTGTAATGTTAATTTATGAAATTTAATAGAAGAATTTAATAAAGTAAACTATATTATAATTTTAAACTATAAAAATTTCAAATATAAAAGAATGGTGATTTCCATATAACTATATGGTGATTAATGGTGATTAAGAGTGAGTCAATAATAAAAATTTATTTTAAAGTATCTCAATCTATGTTCTGTTAATGTTTACATGTTTTCAGACTAAAAAATACTACTGAAAAAGAGAAAACTATGTTGCTTTTAGGCCTATTCAAAAGCCTAAAAACTAAAAGATTATGTGAATTTAGATTTCAAGTTAATAAAATAATAATCAACTATAAATATTTAAATTTTAAATTTATTATTTATAAACTAAAACACTTATTTTTATTTAAATCTGTATTAATTTTACAAACAAAAAAAACAAAACATAGCAAAAATATTATGTAAATGCCTAAAGCTACAATGTTAACCAAGCATTCCTAATTTTATTTATTCTTTATTATTAAAAATACTTATTTATTGTTAATAAAAATCCAAAATTATTAATATCAAAAGAATTTACTTTTTAAAAAACTTTATTAAAAATAATTAATCTAAAACTCTATTTTAGATGGCTGAATGCTTCGAAGGTCTGTCATGGAGATGTCCAGGCTAGGTGTGTACAGCAGCCTGGCAAGGACTCCTCATCTGCCAAGGACTTAAGACTGAATTCCTGGCACACAAAGCTTCACCGAGCTAGAGATGGTGTTCTACTTGTGAATGCCTGGCTCCATGAATTGGAGAAAGGAACTTCGGCCGTGGAGTGGAAGGATAAGCAGTTGCCTGGCAGCGATTCTGGCATCGCCCGAGCAGTGAGCGAGAAGTGGGAAGAACTCACATTGAGGATAAGCGTGAAATCATGGAAAAACATTGGAGCAGTTGCAACAGCTCTTGGATGGTGATCACCAGCCGCGCATTTACGACCAGAGTTCCGTGATGTAATCCTCGAGTCGTTTTCGTGTTTGACGAGGCAGGGGGTTTGAACGAAACCCGCTCAGAGTTTTGTTTCCGTGGAATGCCAGCTTTGCGCTGGACTCAACCGCGAAGCTTTTGCCGAGAAAGAGCGACGAGGACAACAGCAGCTCGCCGAGAAAGTGCGGCGAGGACAGGCGAGCCGTTTTCGTGTTTGACGAGGCAAGGGGTCTGAACGAAACCTCAGCTCCGCGGGGCGCTCAGAGTTTTGTTTCCGTGGAATGCCTACTTTGTGCTCATGCTGGACAACCGCGAAGTTTTTGCCAAGAAAGAGTGACGAGGACAACAGCAGCAGGGCCTTGAAGACCGGGAGATGCTTATTGCCTCCGATCTACTTCTTGCTAACTTTGCAACTAGACATGCTCAAGCCGGGCCTGAGCGTTGCGGAGTATAGTTCTTCGTCAACCTGGATGAAGTATGGAAGGCCTGTGCGGGCCGCCAGAATAGGATAGGGTGAAATGGGAATCAGTAATGAGTTCGCCATTGAAGGCAAGGTGACAGAGAGCCAGGGATGGTATTGTTTGCTGCTGCAACAGGCCTGCAGGTGTGTCCTCGCTGCCCGATGGTAGCGTCACATATGAACGTCGTATTACTATGAAAAACAGGTTGTTTGTCGCTCTTCCAGCGACGCCCAGCTGCTAGCCTGCTCAAGTTCAAGAAGTGAAGCGGTATGCTTAGCTGGTACCTTCATCCGATCAAAGTGGTGGTCCCCTGTTCTGCAATTCTTTTGCCGTGCGGGAAGTCCCGGATACTGCAGCGAGATACTTTGCAGGAGGCCTTGCTATCGGGCATCAAGCGGAAAACGATATGCGTGGTGCCGATCTCATTCTTCCTGAGGGGATGACTTGCTGCGTTGTGTCCCTGAAGACGAGGGGCGGTGTCTCATCCGAGCTCACCAAGTGGAAAGTCTTCCTGTGGTTACCGTGTATGTCAATGCAAGGAGCAAGCAGTTGCGGACACAAAGTCTTGGCTTTTGTGGGATCAGGAGGAGGATAAGAGTGATCTCCAGCTG